TTAGGGGGGATCAGTGTTGGCTGAACGATCCCAGCGGTACTGATGAAGGTAACCAACGTGTAGCAAAATTGAAGCAGTTGCTCAGGTTTGTAGATGAAATTCAAGTTTTCTTGACCAGTACTAGTTTACGTGACATCAACAACAAACAAGTTAACTAGTGGAGGTAACCAACGTGTAGCCGGGGTGTTCCGACGCGGTGAAGGCCTATACCCATGGCCACGTCGGGACATCACCAACCACGTCTATAGAGAGCACCTTCTCGCGACAGTGTCATGGTGGTGGCAGTAACTGTTGACAGCTGACGAGCTGAGAGAAGGACGCCATGGGCAGAAGTTGGAAGACAAGAAGTTGAGGTTTAACTGTCTTTAAGTAGCTACATGACTACCAGGACGACATCCAGGAGCGATCAAAGGATACACGACGGACGAAAGGAGTAGTCTCCAGCCCCCCTAGCATAATGAGGGTCAGAACCGGGTTCAACACCCATGTGGTTCAAATGGTCCGCAGGGACCGGGGCTCTGCCAACCGCGGGAGGTTGTAGTAAGGTCACTGTTTCCGAACACAGTGTCCTCCACCTTGTTTCATGCTGTCAATCTAACAATATGCGTGAACTATAACAAGGTTTATCTAATAGTAGTTTTGAACTAGTATTGGGTTATAATAATAATAATAATAATAATAATACCATGACTGTACAGTCCATTCATCGGAAACTGGCCCGCTGGCTTTTGAAAGTCGGATTTGGGCCGAATTGAGGATCAAAAACCCACTTTAAATCTCAAAAATCTGGGTTTTGGATCTGCTTCTCCATACATTTTGCCATGGCATACCTGTCCTAATTTTGTAAAACCTGGCGGAATTTCTATATCCCTGTTCTGGGACTTTTCTGGCCTCAAATGTGGCAAGGAGTAATTGCACGGTTCACACAATGCAGGATGTACTGTTGTTTTCACGATATCTAAAACTATGTGAGAGAGACACCAAAAAGTTAGGGTGCCAGTTTCCAATGAATGGACTGTAGGTCTACATGATTGTACATCATGATCGTAGACCTACATGTGTACTTGTATCCCTGACTGTCAGTAATCACACAGCCACATCTCTACCAGTAGTTACATTGTAGTTCACAAGTACATTCTATCTACTTCTCACGCGCAACCACTTCGGACTAGATAGCCCTGCTTGCAAGACCGGTACGGCATGACCTATTGCGTTCATGCTGTACTAATAATAATATTACATTGATTCCTATAGTCCGTTCCCCATCACTGACCCTCTTGATCCCTTGCGAGATTCCTTCCCGTTCTAGGCATCCAACAGCTTTCTTCCCCGAATCCATGTTATTGTTCAGCCCTAGCGCACACACATTCAAAGGGCTTTTCCTTAGATCTTTCAACAGTTGTCTTCCTAGTAATCTTTTGCCCTCGCTCCCAGCTGCTCTCTCCCTCTAGCCTATATAAACCCATCATTCTTTCTCATTGCTTTGTGGAATTATGAAGTGAAGAGTCTAAGCCCAAGAGCTTGTTTTCCTCCCGCTAGTGCTGTCAGCCTGTATCACTTTCTGTTGTAAGCCCAAAGTGCCTCAGACACGAGCAGGCTGGCAGACACTACACAATGTACATTGTACATGTACCTGTACAGTCATGTAGGCCACTAGGCCCCTAGGCTACTGGGCACTGGCCCTTGCCTAGGGCTAGGGCCAGTGCCCAGTCTAGTAGGCCATAGGCAAGGCGAAGTACCAGAGTACTGAGCCATGATCTGATGATGGGGCCCTTCACTTCAGTCTTACTCACTAAAGAGTAAAGTAAAGTCTTTACCTAGTCTTTACTGTACAGTACTACAGTCGTTCCTCTCTAATCCGGCACCTTTTGCAACGGCATTTTCTGCTGGATAAACAAGGGTGCTGGATTATCAAATCCTGCCCTCCAACCCGGCCCACCTATTAACATACATGTTTGTGTCGTACGTCAAAACGTAGCAATTTTCTGTGTCAATCCAAGTACTAGTACTTTGTGGAATGCATGTCTATAACATACACTTGGGAATATCCTATGCACTAGCATAGGATATTCCCAAGTGTATGTTACATGACATTGTGCTGTGTATGTTACAATGCTCCTTGACAGTATGTGATGTACAACTCAGACCTCAGACCTCAGAAATGCCCATCGCGGAAGCGATGATAGCGTATTAGCGATGAACAACTGCTGGATTAGAAAATCGAATTATGCACGGTTTGAGTGATTTGTTGCAGAAAATCACTGCTGGAGGCGGACTTCAAGTGCCGGATTAAAGCGTAGAAAATGAACTGAAAAAATCCGTTTTGCCAGAAAGTGTGCTGGTTTGCGAGGGTGCTGGATAAACAAGTGCCGGATTAGAGAGGGACGACTGTACTAGTGAGTAAGACTGAAGACCTCCCTGTTCACGTACCCAGTGCAGCACATGCAGAGGCGGCTGAGGCCATGGCCGGGGCTGAGGCCATGACCTCAGCCGACTGTGCCATGCCATACGCCAGGACATGTCGACAGTCTCTGGCCTGAATCTGCCCACGCTAAGGCCCGGTCGGGCAAGGGCACGGTCACCACGACACCAGGCATGCATTGCGTCAACTCAAATGCCGACGGGCGCGGGCGGGCGGCGGTACGATGCGGGGACTGGTCCGAGGGCCAGGCCTGGTATACCGGTAATGCCTGATACATGACTGTATGGCCTGTGGCGGGACAGGTCTGTTGTCCTTGCCGTGTGACTGACAGTCTGTGCTACTGCTAGGCAGACTGTAGTGTAGACTTATGTCATAATGTGTAGTGTAGTCTGTGTAGACCGTAAATTATACGACTCTGGCCCGTCTGGGCCTCTGGACCCTGGCCTATTACCATGGTTACTGGTCTTCTTCCTGACAAGTGACATCAGAAAACACAGTCATGACGTCACTACATCGCACCAACTACACATTAAAGGGGAAGTCCGGTGAAAAATTTAAATTTCAGGGTCGGTAGAGTTTCGGGCGCTGAGTCGAATGGTGTTGGTCCCACGTGTCTCCGACAAAGCGTTCTCGAGATATTTCCGTTTGAAAAACTGAGTTTCGGGGGCTGCGCCATGACGTCATGCGGCCGCGCCACACCCTCTGCAACGTCATAGCGTGCAGCTAGGTCAAAAGGAGTGCGTGAAAGCAATAGTGTCAGTGCTATTTCAAATGATTTGGCGACTGATAGTTTGGTGCAAGCGACCCCGAAGACCTGTAACTCCTTGTGAGAGTGAGGATGCAGCCATGGCTGACCTTCATGAGTTCGGTCTGGGGCTGAGAACCTCGGTATTCAGCTGAAGAAATGGCCACGCGGGCCGGTCAAGAGTGAGCGCTACTGAGTTTCCGACTGATGAAGAAGCAGCAGCTATTGCTGACGAGGCTGATCAGATCGCTGGAGAGCAGGGTCGCCAAAATGGAGAAGAGTGATGCGAGTGCTCTAAATGTTGTTCCATACCGATTAGATTCGCTTAGACTCCAGTAGCCTGCCACATGGTGATGTTTTGGTGCGAACTTGGAATATTTCGGACTACTCAATTGGAGAACAGTGCAGGCTCTTTGAACCACGGGCACGACTCTTCGCTCGCAACGCTATGGAATCTGAAAGTTCTAGGTCCGGGAGCTGTTCGCTGTTTTGTCACTTGTCACGGTTGTGCACTCATCGCTGTAACATAAAATAATGAGGCGGGTGCGGAAAACTAAAATTTTCTTTCTCAAAGCACAACCACCGGCACCGGCAAGGAGAAACGCACGTTCTCTAGCTCTGACTACATGACTGAACAATACGACTGATACGAGTGTAGTACATGACAAGTCCGTGTGTTGACTAGTTTTCTGAGTCTTGTGTCAGTTGTGACTCGAGTCTTGTACATACTACCCCAGCACGACAGTGCTAGTGCGGGAGTAGTTCCGTCTGTGATGAGTTTGTTGACTGCATGTAACACACTGCACGCACTGCATGCACGCAGCACAGAGCGCGTAGACCATGTAGACGGTAGAGGCTGACGGAAAAGTCCAACTCGGAAACGGCTATAATACGGTATAACCTCCAGGTTTACCGAGCTGAAAATCACAGGGTACGTAGTGTTTGTAACACTGAATCGAATGGTCTTGGTCCGAAGAAGCTGCGACAAACGGTTCCCCAATCGAACGCGCTCCGAATATGGCCATTTTTGTACACAACTAGATGGTGTGGCTACCTGGCTGCACGCTGTGACGTCATCACCTGGATCTGGGTGATGCGCGCTCAAATTCGCACATGTTCGATTGGGCGTATCTGACGAACCATAAGCCGCAGCCTCCTCGGACAAAGACCATTCGACTCAGCGACCCGAACTCTACGGACTGTGAAATTTAAATTTTTCACCGGACTTCCCCTTTAACGTTACTTGATCAAGAGTATTAATAATTTATACTCTTGATCGTACATACCGTATATTCTCTAAGCGCCGTGCTTATATTTTTTCAACACCCTCTGCCCCGCGCTTATATTGGAGACCGCGCTTATATTGGAGACTGCGCTTATATTTTTTCAACCAATACATCCATACAAAGCAAGAAGAAATACATGCTAGATATCATGCATGCAGCACTGATTTCCACCAAGACCGTGCTAATAATAGAGACTGTGCTTTATAATGTTTCGAAAGGTGCTCACAGTGTGCTAGTATTAGAGACTGTGCTAGTAATGGAGACCTGTGCTAATAGAGAATATACGGTAATTATGATAATATTATTCATTGTATACAGTCAGTACACATGGTACATGTGCAGTCACATGCGCATGCACGCGAACGCGGATACAGTGTCGACGGGGACCGCGTAGATCTACGGTACCGGTAGACCTACCGGGAGTCTTTTTTTTGTAGCCATCTGATTCTGAGTCTGCCACGCTTGCACGGCACGCGCCGTACCGTAGATAGACATGACACACATAACACGACACACGCCTGCGAAGAAAGAACAGAAAAATCAGCAGCACATACTTGACATAGTCAGTAGATCTAGCTTGCTCTGTCTACTACACGAACGGTGGCTTTGGCGCTCCGCTGCTTTCCTAGGCTCTGGTTTCTTGTGTGTGCCGGCGGCGGCAAAATAACTTCAAGTCAAGCTGTTGCTCTCCAATACGATCGAACACATTACCTGAGGACTGCTCGCTGCAAAACAGCCGCTACAGGCAGTAAGCTATCGACTTGTAAACGCTATCAAAGCTAGATTGTGGCTGGTGCCGAAAGAACAGAGCATCAGCGGAGCACGGTTTGGTCCTGCTCCATACACCACTGGGACGGTGGCTCAAGGCGTTGGAACGACTGCTCTCTTCAGCTGAATACTGGAGTATTGTGTGCACCGGCAGTCGCAGCAAAATAACTTCCAGTCATTTTCGCTCTCCAGTTGTATCAACTCATCGAACACATCACTGTAGGAGTGCCAACTGCGAAACAGCCGCTACAGGCGAGAAACTGTCGATCTGCGAGTTAGAGCGCTGCTCGAGCTGGATAGTAACCTGGTTGGTGGCTGCCAGTATCTGTAACCGTACTCCACGCTGTATTCGCCTGGCTGTAGTATGGCGCTTCACAAAGTCATCATGGTGGGTAGCGGCGGTGTAGGCAAGTCCGCACTGACTCTACAGTTCATGTATGACGAGTTCGTGTCGGACTACGAGCCAACCAAGGCGGACAGCTATCGCAAGCAGGTGGTGCTGGATGGGGCCGAGACCCAGATTGACATTCTGGACACGGCGGGCCAGGAGGACTACGCCGCCATCCGCGACAACTACTTTCGCAGCGGCGAGGGATTCCTGTGCGTCTTCAGCATCGTGGAGAACGAGTCGTTCCACGCCACGTCGGAGTTCCGAGAGCAGATACTGCGGGTGAAGCAGAACGACCGCGTGCCATTCCTGCTGGTCGGCAACAAGTGCGATCTGGACGATAAACGCCAGGTGTCGACCAAGGACGCCCAGGACCGGGCCACGCACTGGGGCGTGCCGTACGTCGAGACATCGGCCAAGACTAAGCATAACGTGGACAAGGTGTTCTACGATCTGATGAGAGAAATCCGGGCGCGCAAAGCGGCGGAGGGTGACGATGGCGTGGCGCCGAAGAAAAAGAAGAAGAAGGGCAAGTGCGTTATCCTGTGAACAGTGAGCAGCGGCTTTTTCTGATAACTTAGTAACCAATCTTCTCTTTGATCCACCATGCCGCATCTGGCTGTTCAGTGTCGCTCTGTCAGACGGTGGATATAATTTCTGCGCAGGTGTGTGTATATGTACAGAACGCTATGATTGTGTATACACTTGTGAACTTATCATATTGTGTGTGTGTGTGTGTGTGTGTAAGTAGGCACCAGTTCAATGACGTATCGAGCACAGTAGCACTCGAATTCTCTTGAGCTCTGCGCCGATGTGGCTGTTTTCCGGTGCTTTTGAGAGGGCTGGCCACCAAATCCTTTTGTTATTAATTAAGGAAGATTATGATCCATTATAGTGACTAGGCGTGGGGGGTCCGTGATGCTGCTTTTTTCCCACTGATCAGACCTTTCCCAGTTTTTGTTGCAGTTGTTGTGCCAATTGTTTATTCTTTGGTGTTCAAATGTACATGCTGGTATGCACTGGAAGTACTGCTTGGTGAGAACTCATCCGATACGCTTCTTATGCCTCCTGTCTGGGGGTTTCCCCAGTAGTCTCATCCAAGAAATTTAGGAATATATTTTCTTTATAATAATTTTGTGGAGTATAGACCACTGCACTGTGCCCTTGCTACTGCACTTATCAACTGGAGTCTGAAAGCCCAATGCACATCCCTCTGTGTGTGTGTGTGTGTGCAAGCGTGTGTGTATGTGTGTTGAGTGTTCCGTCGTTCTGGCGACATCAAGCGGCATGCGCCATGCTGCAGATGACGAGTTTCAGAGCCTCGGCGTGAGGACGCCATTGGTATCATTGCTACGGCAATGGGCGTTCCTGGTTCAAGGTCCAGGTATGTGTGTGTGTGTGTGTGTGTGTGTGTGTGTGTGTGTGTGTGTGCGTGCGCACGTCATGCATGTGTGTGTATATGCTTAGTGTTTGCATATTGTCAGAGCGTCAGGCATCATTGGTGTCGGGCCAATCATTACGCCACGCCGCTTTCGAGGTGATCACGGTCGGCTTCAACTGACTCCAACTTCTAAGTTTTCGTGACCCATAGGCAGTAGCAGGTGGAACACTGCTGGAGCTGAGTGTACAGTACAGTGCTAGTAATCTAGCCTTGGCTTCTGGCCTGCGTGCTGCATGTTCATGTATAGCAGCACTAAACTGCGTGCAATAACCAGGTGCTACATTGTAGGTGCTGGAAATCACCTGCTGCTGAGTCCCGGTTGGGCCGGCATTGCTGCCCGTTTGAAGAAAAAATGATATACTCCGGTGTAGTCAAGTGGTGTGCTTCACTGTCCGAAGAGTTGCCTGATGATCGTAGTAATACGTGAAACTCAGAGTTGTCACAAAGCTTCCAAACTCTCTCTTGTATACTCTGGTGTCAATCTGCAGACACAGCTCTACCGTCTGGTCTCTGTGCCTCCGCTTCACTACCCGTAGTACTGACCTCACTCACTCCGAGACACGTGACGGAGCCTGGCAGCTAGTGAGCACTGCTCGGGGAATCAAGGTTGATGACTGAGACCGGCCCTCTGTTGAATTTGCTTAGCATTCCCTGCAATGTACAGTGCCGCTTGAACTACTCTATGGTCGCCGGATGGGTATCTTGCGGCACCCCGGCTGGCCGGTGTAGGGGTAACGGCGTGCAATATGGCACAGAGTGCAGTACACGAGAGACCAGGGAGTACAAGTAGTAAAATAACAGGTATTAGGTACTTTACTACTCCCTGATATCAATAGAGACTGGTATCAAGAGTATATAACTCCCCAAGAGTGTTCAACTCCTGATACCCTTTCTATGGGGTACGCCAACGGCGAAAACTCACATCACGTGGTGCAGTGTCGCAGTTGTACGTTTCCAGCCCGTTTTTAGCGAGCAGCGGAGTACTAAAAAAAGTACTCTCTGACAGAAACTCACTGCGCGTATGCAAATCCCCAGCATGATTACGGCAGATTTTCGGATTGCGCGCCCGCTATCCTACGTTTGTACGTAGTACAAAGGTATCTGAGACACGTGATGTGAGTTTTCGCCGTCGGAGACCCCATATGCAGAGTTGCACACTCTTGGGGGGTTATAATATATATAGTATATTATACTCTTGCTGATACATACAATCATCATGACTTTGTAGATCTACATCGTGCATCAATCTCCCGGCCTGATCTGGTACAGGTGGAATCCTGATAATTCGAACCTCCAAATGCCAGAAAAAAACTTCTAATTATCCGGACATTCTAATTATCCAAACATGAACCCACAACACAATATGTATGTCAAAATGCTCCCATTGTCACGCAGAGTTGCGCTATGGACCTTAGACACAGATCTCACGGATACTGAACTGACAGGCACAGCCAGCTCATGCGAACTGCACTGATCAGTACAGTGTACAGTGAACTTCGAATTATACGTTGCTAACTTCGAATTATCAGCACAAATCCCACACATTTTCTATGTAAGTGGAATCCGTGGAACTTCGAATTAACGGATATGTCCGGTTCGAGGTTTGAATTATCAGAAATTTTTATGTGGGAATTGTATAGCCAGAAATCGGTCCTGGAAAAACTTAAGCGGTATGTTTGAATTAAGCCATATTCGAATTATCAGGATTCCACCTGTACAAAGAAACTTTTTTGTGTAAGTAAGTAAAGTAAATTATCGTATCCGTTCCCGAAGGGAACTCACGACGGCCGCTAACACCCGATAAACCCTAGCGGCAGATGCAGCGCCTAACGGTGGGGGTGAGTGGGCAAGTCTCACAACCACTGGCACAAGTGCCGAAAACGACCCCATTAGCTGCATCCATGTACCCCTTGTGCCTGGCCACAAGTTCCCAGTTGACTGTGGGTAGCAGCACGGCTGGAAAAACTGCTCCCAGGCAGGACTTGAACCAGGTACCTCTCGTATCTCAATCATGGTCTTTGACCAACCCACTGTGCCTGCCTGGTCTTTTTTGTGTAAGTACTGTAATACTAGGCTAGCCTGAATAGTACCAAGATTTTTATTGTGTTAGGAAATTCGAGGCCACATGCCACGTACTGCTCTTTTCTCTCCGAAACTCAACACTTGCAAGCCAGATATGAAAGAAAGAAAAAATCATCAGTCACACCACCGGGACTTGAACCAGGGACCTTGCTATTCGCGAGCAATGCTCTAACCAACTGAGCTACAGTATGACTCTTATCCACAGTGATGGTAAATCTATCCTTCTTCGATCAATCAATATCTGGCTTGCATCATACTGGCAACTCACACCAATCAAGAGGGCCCTCGGCCATTGGCTTGATATCATGGGGAGCGCATCAAACTATGTCCACTGCTAGCAAATACAAATTGCAATTTCAAATTTGGACTTCACGGAGAATTTTCAAAGTGTTAGGAAATTCGAGGCCACATGCCACATACTGCTCTTTTCTCTCCGAAACTCAACACTTGCAAGCCAGATATGAAAAAATGACTATTTTATTATGACAGTATTTATGACAGGGACTACACATTTCTGCCAATGCAGTGTTTTGTTGTTTGTCAAATGTTTTGCTTTGCTTTGCTGTGGATACGTACCATGACTGACTGTGCTTTATCCATGCCAACGTTTGAGTGGGGCCCAAGTTTCTTCGATCGCTTTTTATTGGTTTCCATTTCATGCTTTTCAGAGTGCGAGATTTCCGATTCACTTTTTATTCTCTTTCATTTCTTCTTCTTTGTAGGAAATTGTATGCTTCTTGCCTACATACCTTCATTTTGCTGTTGCTTTTTGCCTTCTTTTTGATGGTTGCTGTGGCTAATTGGGATTGGAAGTAAAAACGATTCATCAATGCAGTGATCCTACTCCTACTCCTTGCTTGGTCACAATGGTCAGTACTGTACTGGCGTACCATCAAGACTAGGGACTCTGAGTACATGAACATAAAAATAATGTTGATAAAAACCAATGAAAACAGGCCTGTCATTTTCACTCTTGCCAGCTTGGCGCATGTACACCATGGTACAGTCTGTATACTACACACACAGTACATGTACTCAAAACCTGGACTTTTTCTTTTCAGTTCTTCTTCTTCTATCCGAAAACAAGAGTCCATATCGCCATGTTTATGGACTCTTGGTAAAAATAGATCGGATTTTTGGACTGGAAAAGATTTTTTGTTTCTGTTTGAAAATCCCATGGACGCACGTGCGCGCACTTGGTCAGTTGGTGACGAAGTGCGGCAGAAGCGGGAAAATACAAACCGTAGCGTTCCGTCTCTCAACGCGCGGAAAGGTAGCGTCTGTTCAGTCTGTGGGATCCATGGATCCCGTCAGTGAGTTGAGTGCAAGACTTGTCGTGTACAAATCTGTACTGTCACTGTCTGGTCTGTGTGAGTCTGTACATGACAAGTCTGCACTCCATCATCGACCTGTTTGAGTGTAGTGTAGTGCAGAGTTCGACATCATTGATCAGTGAAGCTTTGGAGTCGCTTCGACGTCACCCACGGCCTCCATATGCAGCCCCTACAGCCCAAGCGAAAGAGAAAGAACTGCACTGGCCCTGCTGTTGTTGTGAACTCCCAACGACTGCCCAATGAGGTGGACTCAGTGGATTGTCAGTTGTCCTCGTGTGCTGAGAATTCATCCGATCAGTATAAGGTGTGTTGTCATCAGGAGGACGTGGCTGAGACCATTGGACTGCTAGTATTCGGGAGTGTGTCCATCCCTGAAGCTACTCTTGTTGTCTTTTGTCGTAGCTGCACCATTGGTTGCCTACCTGGATGAAGAGAATGCTGTGGGCCAGTCCAGGCGGACCTGGCGAGGCTGATGGTCGTGAAGAGGTAAAGTTTTGCAATGCTACGGTATATTTTCGTAGTGTCTTGTGAGGTGGCAGATTTTGTACGCATATCTGATTGGAAGCCGAGAGTTGGTGCGAACCGTTGCTCCCCATGGCCTAATTTTTGGACTCCGCAATTACTTACTAGTAAAGTGAGATTCCTCCTCGGTGGGGGGCTGCTCTATGCATCTCTGCCTTGCAAATAGACCTGTTGCCACCCAGTGTGGAAGAACCACAACAAGCGTGGTTTTGGTCTTTCAAATTTTCGAAGCGGCTCCTGTCTGCAATGGCGGGAAGCTCATTTGATTTTCATTCGGAGTAGCATTGTTCAAGTAATTTGTGCATGTGTCGACCGTAGACGAATGTGCGGCGTACCTGATGCTGGAATCCAGCTGTTTTGCGGCTCTTCATGGATTGTTTCCGATTCCCTTCAAAGGCAGGGCAGTGTCATTTTCTTGGCAGCCTTGTGCAGTGAGGGTGATTTTGCGTGAGGTCTTTTCAACAACCGTCACGCTGTTGTTCTGTTGCACTTCGCCTCCTTTTCCGCCACCGTGTTAGTAAATAATTATGTACATGCTCTGTACATGCATGGCTATCACTAATTCTGTTACTTTGGTTGTCGTCGTTTGTCAGCTCCTACTACAGTGCAGTGCTAGCTGGTTTTCGTGTGCTAAATTTTTCATGCACAGTCTGTACAACAGTCGCCACGTGTATGCCATGCCAGCGTAACATTGGTGGCTGTAATAATTATAGTAAGTAAGTCGTTAGTTGTACAATTTCCACATTACCTGGCTTTCGATCGCTTTTGTCCTTGTATTGCACTTGCAGCGCTCAGAGGGCGAAGATTCTGATGATACCGCTCCTTCAGCCAAACGGAAGCGGACTGGAAATCGTCCTCGTCGCAAACCCGTAAGTATACCTCATGCGTTTGCAAGTGTACATGTCATTTCAAACTTACTTTGTTTGGTGGATGGCTAAGAGGTGCTCTTGAGTGAGTAAGTACAGGCGCAGAGCTGGAGTGTGTTGCCATCCACTGGGCACTAGTAATATTAGTAGTACGTGTTGACGCTGGTTGTAGATAGCTAGCTAGTCAGTAGTAGTGCTTGATGCCAGTGGTGTTTCCCTTCCCTCACACCACATACCAGCACAGTCATACAAATTACGATCATAATAATTATTGGCATAGGGATATGTGGCACTCATTGTATTTGTGCAGACACACAAATTCATTGCTCTGTCACTCTGTGTAGTTGTGCGTGTTGTGTGTTGTGTGATGGTGTCGACTGTTGTGTAGGGTTGTGTTCCCCTTTGTGTCCTTGCCTGCTGATGCGTGACGCTATGATACTATGGTGGCCAATTCCCCCAGACACCCCCCATAGTCCCCAACCCTATCTGTGACTCACTTTAGGTTTTAGGTGCACACCACTGCCACTACGCACTAGTGAGCATTCCCTGGGTGCGCTCTATGGATTTCTGTGGCCTGGGTGGTAGTGGATTGCGCCATATCATCATGTATGCGCCTCTGCATCTGCATGCATAGGATGACAGGTATTAGTTCAGATAGCGATCACGGTCACTCAGTGCAATGCTTTGCAAATCAACCTCAACTGAAAAAGATTTTAATGTGCCTTGCATACTCAATACATACATACATACATACATACATACATACATACATACATACATACATACATACATACATACATACATACATACACACCACACACACACCACACACACACACACATGTACACCCTTCCGTGGGTCATATCAGTGCTTCATTGTGTGTTTCCGTATTTGTCTGTTGTCCTGCATTCGTTGCCAACCGTGCAAAGAAGCGTGGTGCTGTGGCGCATGTCGCCGACCTGATCACCTCATCGCCTGCTCGTCCAGCAACAGCCAGATCGCAGCTTACAACAGCAGCAGAGCCAAGTATTGCAATAGCGGCCACCTCGGCTGTTGCCACCTCGGCTGTTGCCACGACAGCGCCAGTTGACGATGATGATGATGATGTCGAGTCGAGTTGTCCGTCCGGAGCAGCACCCGAGGACAAGGGGTAGGTCACACCGTTTCGTTTCACCCCATGCGTGATCCCATCGATTGATGGTATACACTGGCACTGAAATATTCTTAGAATAGTACAATAGTCATGCATCTAAATTATACACTGTTCCTCACTAGTGTAGAAGAACAAATCGAAGATTTTCCGAACCAAACATTTTCGTTCCCTTCTCATCATGGGCTTATGCAGGGAATACAGCAAAATGGCTAAAACAGCAATTATAGGCAAAATAATTGAAGGACATAAACTAGAGCTGAGTCGGGTAGCATTTTCTTCGGGTATCGGTTCCGGGTAGTTTTCCACGGGTAGCACGGGTACCCGATCGGGTAATGTTTCCATGGTAAGACCACAATGCACACCGGCCCCTTCCCTTACATACTGGGTAGACAAGCGTGACATATTTGTACACGTGCACTGTAGACCATGGTAGACCTCTCTGTAACTCTTTCTACATGATGTCATCCGCGACTTCGGGTTTTCGGGTACGATTCGGTACCCGTCTACCCGAGGTCCTCACAGGTAGCACGGGTACCCGACTACCCGTGCACACCACTAACATAAACCATCACGCTGCAAATGAGTGTGAACGGTTTAGTGCAACCAGCGCACGCAGTGGGTCAAATACAACACGAAGATGAAAAATAGCACTAACACATCGAACGTATCAAAGAGAAAACAGTATTCTTAGCACTAACACGGGGATAAACGCCAAACAACCGAAGAGACAGCACCTTTCCCTTCTGAACACATAACTCAGGGGACAATTTACGAATATACAATGTCTCTACAAACAGCCCAGTGCAACTTATATATACCACGAGCCAAAACAGAAAATACATCATCACCGTACAACTCAAGACAGCTAAAACATTCTTCTGGTGTTTTCCTTTGCTAGCTGCATGTATCCTAAAAATAAGGTATCTACCGTATTTCCCCGATTGTAAGTTGCACATTTTTTACACTAAACTTCAAGGGCAAAGAAGGGGGTGCGACTTACGATCGAGTGTGACTTCTTACTGATGTGAATGCATTGAGACGATTTGGTTCGGACGTGAGAATGAGCTGCGACTTATAATCAAGTGTGACTTATAATCGGGGAAATACGGTACCTGTATCGTATTTCCCAGATGAAAGTTGCACTTGATTATAAATTGCGCCCCCCCCCCCCTTCATGTTTGAGTCATTTTTTTCGAGGTTATTGCGCATGGAGTACGGTACTCTCATCGGCCTCTTTTATTTGTGCAGCTGCAATTTTGAGCTTCCGATGTAAAAAAGAAAAGAAAGATTATAACAAACGGCGAGGAGACAATAATTCTTCCTATTTTCATCGTTTTATTGCACATTGTCTCCACCGTTTTACGCTGCATGAATAAAGTGTACACAAATGTCGATTCAGCTTGTTATTATTGATTGCGGTTATCAAAAGAAATAATAGAATACTATTTCCCTAAAGATGCTGAGCTTCCCCTGTGCTCATCCATTGTTCTGCTCTCTCTTTGTTGCCTACTCAACTCCCTTGCAGAATTCTCAGCACAATCTTTTCCCCGGTGCTGTCCATGTTCGGGCCTGCCATCGACGGGCCGGATAAACTGCGCAATGGTGTCGCCTGCACGGAGGCTGTCACAACAGCCACGGAAGAAGTCACCACAGACCCTCAGATCGCGTCGGCAGTGTCCTGTGAGTGCCAAACGCGCGTGTGCGTGTGTACATTATGTGTGTACGTGTGTACGTGTAGATAGTTATCTGGCACTAGTCTTGATCTGTTTCATTCAGGTTCAGATCCGCTGTCGTTGCTATAAGAGAAAATCTGTGGGTGCACATCCAGTGCATTTGCAGATTTGTGTGCTTTTTCTTGCGACGGGCGTACAGTAGTCCCTCTCTAATCCGGCACCTTTTGCTACGGCGTTTTCTGCTGGATTAACGAGGGTGCTGGATTAAGAAATCCTGCCCTCTGACCCGGCCCTACCCAATTGCATGCATGTATCATACGTCAACACGCAGGATTTTTCCGTGTCAACCCAAGTATTTGGTGCACGGCTTTATATTCTCAACTGTTCTCCAGGAATATACACAGTGAAAAAGTGATAAAGTAAAACAGAGAACAGTCATGTTCACATGTACTCTTGCACACACACGCACACACACACACACACCTGAAAATTGGCAGCACACTACTCCTTGCTGTCAGCGAATTGTGAAAATATAGCAGTCAGGTCTGCAGCAGTGATTGTGGCACCGCAACTCCAGTCAACTGAACTGAACTCTGAAGTGGCCCCGCGCGCGCGGCACTGACCAGACTGGCCTAGCTTGGCCTGCAGGCCTAGCAAGGAGTGCACCTGTACGGTACGCGATTTACGACCACCGGATTATGAAATCAAACTACGTGCAGTTTGAGCGATTCGTTTCAAAAAGTCACTGCCGGAGGCGGAATTCAAGTGCCGGATTAAGATGTAGGAATCGAACGAAAAAAATCGGTTTCGTCAGAAAGTGCGCCGGTTGGCAAGGGTTCCGGATAATCAAGTGCCGGATTAGAGAGGGACGACTGTATATGGTACACGGTGTGTGTGTGTGTGTGTGTGTGTGCACTCTGATTTAGCCACCCACACTTGTACCAAGTATTACCTTCACTGGGGGCAGGGGTACCTGCAGTTGGATCCCAGGACGGATACCCTGATGCCGTCAATCCTTTTTTCTGCACCTTGTCCTCACCCACTTACTGAGGTGTGGTGAGCCCATAAGTGGGATCATTTCAAGTCCACCCTAGTTTGGGGATTTCAGGGGGTGTCGGCCGTTGGGTGGTTCAATGGCCAATTGAGTCATCTTTCCAAGATTCCTTTTGAGTCTCTCTCCCCTCTCCCGGGGAGACCCACGTGACCAGTTTTGGCAGTGAGCAAGTACAGCAAGTACAGTGTGTGTGTGTGTGTGTGTGTGTGTGTGTGTGTGTGTGTGTGTGTGTGTTTGCACTTTGACGCCATACTATCAATCACTCCGCTTGTTACCTAGCGTTTTGTTGCTGGTGACCATGCAGCTTACTTGTGACTGAATGATGTTGTTTCTCTTGTTGGCACTGACCAGATGACGTGGAGGAAACGGATAGTGGCATAGCGGAGGACGATGAAGGAGATGAGGAGGAAATGCCAATGCAGATGGGGATCGACCCGTGAGTGCACTAGGTTGCTGGTTGTGTGTGTGTGTGTATGTGCATGTGTTTGTGCATGTGCATCTTGAACTGTACTAGAACAGTCCTTTGCATAGCAGGCATATGCTGCATGCACACTCCCCTTCTCTTAGTAACCAATTCACGCAGATTCCTTCCTTTCCTCCACTGATTGAGTGATTGTTCCTGTGCGGGCATCAGCATCTAATGCACGTGCGCATGCGCTTTGCTTACCATCACGCCGTGTTTTCTTGCCTTCTTTTGTCGATATCTTCTCAGGTACTACTTCATCAAGTATGCACCTCCTATTCCTGAGGATTTTCTGTACCGTCAGCCAGGTAAGTCATCTATCCAGGTCTCTGTATACCCAAGTCCTATAGGTACTGTGTCGACACTTTATTAGCTGGGAAACCTTCGGGATCTGGAAACGTTCACGATGGGTGTGAAGTCGCAAAGGTAAGCCGATGCGAAGCGTACTTGAACTGAAATGAAGAAAACAGGAGTTTGGAGCAGCGTTGCATTTGGTATGTCTCTGGTCACTGACTTTGATGTTGCTGTCTGTGTTTCCCCTGTACTGTCTCATGCAGCACTGCCACTAAAGACACGCAGCTGCAAGTATGAGTATTCGCTAGTGTTAGACTTGGTGAGTTTATGGGTGTTGGTCGCGGCTCTAGAGAGCTTTACTGCTTCTTCTTTTTATCACAATCATATTGTGTACACTGTTATGTTCGTGCCGGCTTCGTTCATGATCAGTTCTGTGTGTAGATCCGAGTTCTGCTGACTTGTGGGATTTACCCCCCCCCCCCCCAAATAGGGATATGCATACAGTGTACTTGGCATGCACTGTTGAAGACGGTTTCTGTATTACTACACTCCATTCACAAGAAATAGCACCGGGGGGGGGGGGGGGGAGGGCTTTGAACATCAGTGTACTTTGTGGTATGCCTCTGCTACTACCTGTCCTGCGTGCATATTCTGACAGTTGCATCCTCCCTGTTATGTTGATTTCTTGACGCAGGATGAAACGTTAGTTCATTGCACTGTGGACGAGTTGCAGGACGCGTCCTTTTCGTTTCCCGTTCTTGTCGCGGACACGCTACACAAGGTGGGTGGTTGCTCTGCTCGCGAATCATGCTGTGATGCTGCGTTCCTGTCTGCTCTCTTGTTGCATGGTGTGTCTTGTCGGGGGGGGGGGGGGGGGGGGGGGGTGTTGCTGTCATAATGACTCTTGGATGAGTTGTTGTCTGGAATGAATACCCTGTGTCTGCCCTGCACAATTGAGCAGTCAGCCGTGGTGGTATTGTCTATGGCTCCACTGCATCATGTTTGTGTTGTGGTGCATGTACGGTTGAAGATTGAAGCTTTCCGACCTTGATTGTGTTTGTGTTCTGTGTGTTCTGTTGGCCAGGTTTATGTCAGAACGCGTCCGTTCTTTAGAGAATTCCTCGAGCACGTCTCACAGTACTATGAAGTGATCTTATTTACTGCATCTAGAAGGGTGAGTTGGAGCGGAAACGAGTATGATTCTTGTCGTCGAGCCCTCTGCTTTGCAACATAGTTTGCCATTGAAGTTAATTATTATAAAATTGCTGATCTAGAGGAAGGAAAATGGAGCAAGGAACTACAAGTTATGCTATAATGTCCACTAACACCACCAGTTACTAAACAATCAACTCATGTGATAACATTGCACGACACTGACCGACAGTACTGACGTTCTACAGATAACTGCGCAACATATAGCTCGTTGGTCCTTTTTTTTTCTCTATAAATTTATCCTTGGCTCTCCATCCGAGCCCAAAATTGCTGATCAATTATCTTTTCTGTCAAGTATGGTACATGGGACACTCAATCCGTTATCTTAACGGACCGGTGTGGCTGAGCTTGAAATGGTTGATTAGTTGGTAACTCTGTTGCATTGTTTGTTTTGTTTGTCTGTTGCACTACTCTTCTCCGTGCTTAGGTATACGCTGACAAATTGCTAAATGTGATAGACCCATATCGTCAACTCGTTAGGTAAGAATGACAGATTGCTTACTGTACAGCTCCTTTTGCTGGGGTTTGGCGGGTTTCTGCTGAATTCCTCCTATTTCACCATCAAATTGGAGGTTTTCTTGAAAGTTTCAAGCTAAAACTGTAACAACACAGTGGAACTCTGATGAAACGCATGCCCTGGAGTTCCATTGCATGTGTTCAATTGATAGGGCAACGGCTGCTTTGAAGATTGCTTGCTCTAGGGGCTGATCTTGTACATAAGTGAATGTTTGATTTCTTGCTGCGTGCAGCTGTAGTGTATCCTGTGGAGATCTGGTGTGGCTGAACGTTTCCCTTCTCGATCCCCATGCTTGTCTGCGTCGCTTCTGTTGTGTTTCAGACATCGCCTCTTCCGTGAGCACTGCATACAGGTCCAAGGTAACTACATCAAGGACCTGAGTATTCTCGGACGTGACTTGAGCAAGAGCCTCATCATTGACAACTCTCCGCATGCCTTCGCCTACAATGTGAGTCTTGAGCAATGTCACTGCTCACTGGCCGTGTGCAGGGTATATTCTAGGACGAATTTCCAACCGGTTACGGTCCAATGAGGAGTCGGGGGGGGGGGGGGGGTCCGGGGGTCCCCCCTGCGGAATTTTTTTCAAAATACAACCCAAATATGGCACTCGACATCAATTTAACAGATTTCTTGGTACTGGAGTGTAGCAAAGATATAAGCAGAGGAAATGGACTTTACAGAGCCTGAGGGTAGGGATATCACAGAAGTGATTATGCCAAACTAGAAAGCATATTGGAGCACTACAACGTCAGCAAAGTCTACAAAGTGAACTATGAATCAACTCGAATAAGCTTATCACACAAGAGAGAATTTTTATTCAGTATGGCCACGCCAGATGTAACCAGGTAAGTATGCCGCTCATTTAGCGGGCTTGGAGAAAAAGGAGGATATGGAGGCTTGCCGAAATGATCTCGGTGCCTGAGGCGCACATACAGCAGCAGGAGCAGCACCCGCAGACTGCACAGTGGCAACCACAGAAGGGCCCTTTTCAGCAACAGCATCAGCAGGAGCATCATCTTCAGGAACAACATCTGGAGGAGCAGCAGGAGCAGCAACAACATCTGCAGGTGAATCAGCAACAGCACCATCAACGACGGCAACAAAAGAATCAGCAGCAGCAGGAATTGGAGAGGCTGCAAATCTTGGGTCAGCAGTAGCATCATCATCAGTGGCATCAGGAGGAGTATCGACAGCAGGAGTCGCACCGTCAGCACCAAGAGCTGCAGAGGCATCAGTTGCACTGGGCAAAAGAGCCTGTTGCACTGCTTGTCCTCCTCGTAGCCGGCGTTGCTTGACTTGGTGCCACAGCAGCAGAGCTTCTTCGAACGGATACTCGCTGATGGGCGGACCGTCAACCGAGATCCAGATGAGTCGGGAGAGGTTGGTGTTCTTCAGGCGGTTCCGAAGAGGTGTTTTGATGAGCTTCATCCGGCTGAAGTCCCGCTCGCACTCTACACTTGACAGTGGCAATGCCAGACGCCAGTCTGCAAGGCGAAGCAGGTTGGGGATCTCACTCCTCAGCTCAGTGAACCGTGGGGTTTGGATGGTGGCCATGAACTGCGCAGCATTGTCGATGGTTTGCAGAGTGTCACAGACTTTGATGGCTGACTTCAGATGCCGAAATTCTTGGCGAGCTTCATCGGCATTCACGAAATTCGTGTCTGCGTCAGAGACAGCATCCAGCAGTGTTGTCAGCTCCTGGCAACCATGCTCAGCAAGGTCGTGGGTATTAGCGACAGGAACACGGCTGGGCTGGAACACCTCAAGGGCAGACAAACAGGGGAGCAAGGGAAATCTCTTCTCCAATGCTGATACGAGTGCCTCCAGGTATGGTGTGCCCACCATTCGCTTGTAGACCTGGATGTCATGGTCTGACCGGGTGAACGATACTCCCGCAGTTTCAAGCTCAGTACACCAAGTTGCACATTTAGCGAATTGCTCTCCATCCTTCTCAATTAGCTGCGTGAGGGAGGTGACGGCAATGGTCAGCGCTGGCTTCAGTGTTGCGAAATTGACGATTCCGCAGCTGGAAAGTCTTGCTGAGTGTAGCAAGTATGGGAAAAACATCTCCAAGGAGTAGAAGGGAAGCTACGAACCGGAACGTCTTCACCTTCCGCAGCCATCCTGCAGCGGCTGCATCGTTCTTCTCGTCTGCTTGTCTTCTGAGCTCCCGCACAACAGACTTGAAGCTTTTCCGGAATGCCCGGACTGAGCCTTCATGGGACAGCCAGCGGACAGACGATGGTTCCTTCAACTTTATTGATGGCTCGTTCAGAATCTGTTGCATGGCATGCAGACCAGCTTCCTTCACCGGCGAGTTGTCAAAGTGGCGGTAGACTCCTGCCAATGCGGGTTAGAAAACGGTCTTCAGGTAAGGCACTTGACTGATGGCGTCTGACGCAGCAAGAGCCTCCCTATGTGCCACACAGTGGATCCACTTCATAAGGGGATACTCCCTTTGAAGCTGTGCAGCGACGCCGTTTATTCTTCCTGCAAAGGTGGATGCCCCATCAGAACCAAGGTGGCACTTAGCAAGGTCCACACCAGCTTCCCTTGCCCAGTTCTTGATCGCAGTAACAAGATTGTTGGCACTGCAGCCCTCCAGCAACGGCACAATGCCACCGAACAGTACGTCCACATCGCCATCCTTCACCAGCCGAAGGTGCAGCACAAGCTGGGAAACATTGCTGACGTCTGTTGACTCGTCAGCAACTACACTCATGAAGGTGCACTGGGCGACTTTGGCCTTCACTCGCTGCCGGAGAACTCCGTGCAATGCCTCCAGGAATTCGTCTCTGGCGACAGTGGACGTGTAGAGGGCATCCCTGGCCCTTCTAGCTGCGGACACATCGACTCCCAGAACGTCGTATAGTTCATTTGTCATTCCATGCCATTTGTCCATGGCGATGTTCTCCTTCGAGAGCCAGTACAGTGCTTTCAGGAGCTTGAGCACTGCCTGGTCCTTCGCGCTGGTAGCTTTCAGCAATGCCCGTCGCTGCATTGTTGGAAGTGATCCTCCGCCCTTCTCCTTCACACCAACGGCAGTCTTCTCGATGACTTTGCTGGCCTCGTGCATTTTCGATTTTAAGTGGTCTGTCACCCCGGAGAGTCGATGCCGACTGGTCCCATCGATCCAAGCATCAACTTTGTTTCCTCCCCGCGCGACTTTCCCATGCAGACGGCACAACTTGCAAAACAGGACGATCGTCCCTTTGGATTCCTCAACACCTAACCAGTCGTAAGTACCTTGCCACTGCTCCACGCAGCGAGGGACTTGAAGGCGCAAGCGTTTAGCAGGAGGAGCTCCGTCATCCGATGAGCCGCTGATGTCGACCACTTCACGTTCTGGGGTACTACCGTCATCACTGCTTTCCTCGAAATAATTGTCTTCTTCTGAAAGATCTTCCGAGTCCATGATCAAAAACAGCTTCTAGAGAAGAAGAACTGAACTGCCGTCGAGAAGTCGAAGACTATTTATTGCAAGCAGATCACCTAGAAAGGGGCACTTTTGGAGCGAGAGCATCGAACAGTCTACGACGTTGTACTAACTTCGAACCCGAAGTACCGGTCCTGTAGACATACATTTATGCGCATTCTTTCCGGTGCAACGAAAAGTTTGTAAACTGCGCGCCCAAGAACGTGAAAGTAACTAGTTGCGTGTACTCATGGATCCACACTCACCTCCAGCTCCAACCAAGTATGTAACCGCGGTACCGGAACTTACTTGTGGACGTGTGATGACGGCTAAAAAAGGTGTGAAAGCGATGTCGCGCGGAGCTGTTGGACTGTAGCAACGCCGTTGCTACAGCTCGATGACGCGGTTCGACCGTACAAACTCGTGACCCTAGTACCAGCCCACGCGGCTTCGCTGGAAGTATCCGTCCAGAAAAAAGCGTTTGACCATTCACAGCTCCATTCACCCACAGAAAGGTACGGGCGGTTGGAACTGATTTGTAACTTTTCAACCGGTCGCCAACAATTTCAACCGGTCGAAAACCGGTTGGGGCGGTTCTAGAAAATTCCCTGGTGTGCTTTTGCTTGCTTCATCTGTTCCAGCTTTTGTTGTGTTGTGGTGGTAGCCTGCATCTGACTTAACATCACAGGAATTTCAGGGCTCACAGCCGGTATGCCAAAACCTCGATTACGTGGGAGGACATATTGGATCTGATCACCATAGAAACGGGCACGCGTGACTGCTAAGCGCAGGCGTAGCACTCAGTCGCAAGGAGATTTTGACTTGCTTGGGCTGAGTTGCTGTGACAAGAACTGAGCCGTGGATTGTGAAGAAGACGGAGACAGTTCTCCATTTGTTTCGGTTGTTATTGTTTCCTTCCGAGTGGATTATTTCGCGAGCACTGTTGGCCTCGCCGGCCGAATTCTTCCTTCAGACTGTCCACACACGGAGTCCTGCGAGGAGTAGCCCCGAGCAGATTCCTGCATTCGTTGAACACGAAAGAGTTCAACATCTACTGCCCGGCAGCTACGCCGCTAATGCACAGGCGCGGGTGACGGGAGAAGGAGAGGACATGCACTCCTTGATGTTGAAGGCATGGAGCAATGACTCACGTAGTGTTCTAGTTTTAGTTTCTCCGCCGTGAAGTCCTGTTGTGTACAATGTAAATATACGCCTGGTCCGCTGCGAAGAGCCGCGCAACGCAGTAGTGACGATGTGGAGTTGTGAATTATTTGATTCGCCACTCCGTTTCGTTGCAAGAGAACACGTCCAAAGGCTTCGCCGTTGTGCTGGCCATGTATTTCTTCAGTTGGCCACAACTCCTGAAGGACACAGCGATGAAGCGCCAGGCGAGTAGCAAAAACATTTCGAAAATTCGCCTTGCTGTAGTGTTGTTTCCGCATTCACAACCGGTCCAGCGAGCGCGGTTCTTCCTCGCACCTGTACTGCAGATAGCGTCGCCTTCGAAATGTTCGTTTGTACCCGTCTCTTGCCCGATTTTGATGGCCAATAGCTTAAAATTTTCAGTAGGAAAATTAGAAGAATTTGTCCGAGAGACTTTTCAATTTTAGGACAATAATTCATGTCAGAATTACGCCTGCACCAACTGATACTTTGGCCTCGTATGTACGCCAAACCGTATCGATTAAAACTAAAAACTCTCGGACAAATCCTTACAATGGGTATTGAGAGTATGTTCCTAGAGTTTGAAAGGCCTAGGAGAAAGCATCAGTACAAATGAACATTTTGAATGCACCCCACTTTCAAGCTTTACGTGACAGCTCGCGTGACAGCGGCCTGTCCAAAATGGCGCCCACGCTTTTGTACGAGGCTGTGAGCCCTGAATTTGTGCTGATATGTTAATAGTACTCTGTGTTTGTGTGTGTGACTGGGTTGTCCCCTGCTGCAGTTGACCAATGGCATTCCCATCACTAGTTGGTTCGATGATGAAGATGACCGGGAGCTGCTTGATCTTCTTCCGTTCCTTGATGACATCGTCCGCAATAAGGTACGTGCACAGTTCGCCATGTTGCTGGTGTGTGTGTGTGTACAAAAAAAATGGAAAAATGAAAAATAGGGATTCACTGGCCAGAAAAAGTCACTTCAAACAGCTGTGTGGTGGATACCAGGCTAAAAATAGTGGCGGTCAATTCATCAGCCTTGCAAGCTGTTGAATGGTGTAATCCCAGCACAAGTTGCTATGTCTAACATAGCTGTTCGCTATCATCGCTTCCGCGATGGGCATGTCTGAGGTGTGTGTATGCTGTTGCATTTCACATTATTTCCTTGGTTTGCGTATGAACAATTGTGTTGAGGAACACAACCAGCTTTAAGAGAAGTTTCACTTGTGCTTCATGTAGTGTTTCATCAATTGTTTTACCGTACTCTCTTGATAGGCCATTCGGTGTGCATAATGAGGGACCTACTCTTGGGGCATGTTTGATTGGTAGGATCGGGATCCAGATCTCAGATCCGTCGGATCCTTCAGAGTCAACCGAACGCTATATTTTGGACCTTGACTGTTGCCATGTTGACGAAGTAATAAAGTGGTCTCACAGGTCACCCAAAAGGGTGAAAGTCGCACTCATCGCGCATGTTGTACGAAAAGTCAACAAGAGTATCTCGATCCATGTGTGTGCGTACCACAATGTGTACAAGAATGATGTTTACCCGCCATATACGAACAAAGGTCACATTTGGATCCGGTTGATCTGGATCCCGATCCTACCAATCGAACACACCCTTGGATAGTCAACCTGAAATCGGAAATTATTTTACGTTTTTTTTGTAATTAACTGTGCTTACTTGTAAGACCTGCTTCTGTTTCTTTCTATTGTGTTGTGCAGTACCCGGACGTTCGCCCTATCGTAGAGAATCATTTCAAGCTTCACCTCCGACTCCCACCGGACTGATTGTTCGCCTCCTTACCAGTAATTGTCCTAGACTCGAACGAATTCCTTCGGCACATGCCACTTTCTCCCATGTCGTAAGGTGCAAGCCACGATGGTCTCACTGCGCTTGGGAGAAGCAAGCGAAAAAGCATTTCAAAGTTGTAATCATTCTTCCATGAAACATTTGACTCCTCAACAACGTATCCTGACCGCCGACCGGACCAAGTTACCCGTTGAAGATGCCCCGTGTGTGTGTGTGTGCGTGTGTGACTCTTCTCTTCCCTGCATGCTTATTTCATGTATTATTTGCGTGCGTGCGTGTCTGTTCTTGATGCAACCGAAGCTTGCACTGGACCTCCTCTCCTTTCTTTCTTCATTTTTTTACTTTGTTCTTTTATCCTTGCCATGTGCTTGCTACTCTCCTGCCCCTCGTGTATATCTCATTGATAGTGATGATAGTTAGCTAGTGTGTTACAGCACCGTCCACTGCCTCGCTACTATCAGCACTCTGCCCCCCGTCCCCGGGCTGCTATCATAGCCCCGAGCGCCCGTGCCGTATTGCACGGAGTTGTCACCACCGTCTTGCCCCATGCGTGCGCGGCGCCTCGCGTTCGCACGCTGCTTTTGCACCGCCATGCTGATCGTGCGGCAGTGCTGTCTTCGTTTCCCTTGACCCATGTCCTTCTCTCTAGGACTGTGCTGCGATGCAGGCATCGCATTGCTTCCCCCTTGCACTACTATTTCCTTTCCTCGTAGTCTTGCACTTAGTGTAGTCATTACTAGTTAGTTTGTGCATGTATAGTCAGACCAAGTACATTGAAGCATTTCATGTTGTTAGTTTTCTGTTCTTTTCCAAATTTAAATTCTCTTCTCCTCGGTGTGTGGAATCGTTTGCCGACTCCCCACTGTATTAGTGAGCACAACTTTATCATCCTTCTACCGTTTTTTCTCCTTAGTCCTGGTTAACATTTTCTCTTGGTCTGCGTGTGTAGCCATGGTTCTGTGAATTTTTCAAACTAAGCCAAGTAAGTTGTGTTTGTGTTAGTGCTGAAACGAGTACGCCGAGTACTCGAGTACCCGCTCGTTGAGTACTCGACTCGATATCAAAAAAGGACTCGATAAATAAATAAATAAAAAACTTGATAGCGACGTACACATCCGTCGTCCATGTGGCTTTGCAATGAAAATTTGTGTTTATTGAAGGATATTGAATTGTGTAAATGGTGTGCAAAAAATGGGTATGTGGTACTGACATATATGCGCATGATTGCTTATAGAGTACTCGATACTCGACTCGATAGTGACAGTACTCGCTCGATAGCTTATAGAGTACTCGTTTCAGCACTAGTTTGTGTTGTGTACACCAGTCTGCTCCCCGTGGATTCCGCGGTTTGCAGAATTTCCGCAGAATCCAGCAGTGTCCGCAGAAAAGAGCAAGGCTGACATATGTGTGTGCTGCTCGCTGAAATCCGATCGCGTGAGTCAAGACAAGTCAGCGCCCAGCCGCCCTGCACTCATACACAGCCTAGCGTTTGCAGGTCTGGGGCTGCACTGCACCCGGCACATACTCTACTTGTGCGATCGGATTTCATTGAGCAGCACTGTACGCTGTACGTGATGATATCCTAGTTTTTGGCCATAAAATTAATGGGTCAAATTTTTTCCCAATTTCTTTCTGGGATCCTCTTCTGAATTGAGTCTCTGTCTATTTCTCCAAAAAGCAAGCCATATTAAAGTTATAACAAGAATAGGATATCGGCCATGTTTTGCCCCCAAAGCACTGAATCGGGGAAAAACCATGAAAATCCAGGCCATTCACTCCACTTGCATAACAGTAGATTGTGCGGTTAGAACTCCACTTCAGGCACTTCGGTACCTTTTTTGGACCCGTTTTCAAGTTTCAAACCTCGCGGCACTGCACCTAACCGTGTACGACAACATCACCAAATACGGGAGCTCGCCAGAGCCCTTCTTGATCTTCTGAATGGACTGTAGCAAGTACATGTACATCGTCATGTACAGTGCTGGTCTGCTGGTCTGTTCTTCAAAAAATTAATAGTAAAATACAATCAAACCTGGGTTATCTGGACCGGCCCAAAGTTATGGGCACTTCGGTCTACCGGGCACCCTTTGGCGAGTTGGAAATATTACTGCTCTGTGTCCCTTTTTGTGGAAATAGTGCATGACGTTATATCTATGGCTTTTCAGGCACCCTTTGGCGAGTTTCAGTGGAAATATTACTGTTCTTTGTCCCTTTGTGGAAATAGTGCCGTGATATGCCATTATCTATGGCTTTCCCCATCAACATGTATGCGTTAAAATTGCGTTTCGGAGGGACGGGCAGCGCCCGGTCCTGGACTGACCCGGGATAACCGAGGTATGACCACTCGCTCTGGAATCGCAATCCAGGCTACAATGTGCATGTACATGATGGGTGCTTGAGCTGCTTTACCGCGAGTTGCACTTGAATACAGGTTGCACAGCGCTGCACTGCCGGCATCCAGGCGGTCCAGGCACCAGCGTTCTGTTACAGTCACATGGTGCAGAATGTGCCGCAGTGCATGGCCAGTTGTCACTGGGCAGCTATAGCACCGTTCGACAACACTGGCAGTGCACTACTAGATACTCATAGTCATACAGCTACTACAGTGAACAGGTCTCCATATTTCCACCAAGTCAGATTTGTTTCCGATACGAGTCATTTCAAATCTAATCGAAGTATGGAAACTTCAAATGAGATCGTGGAACATTAGTTAGGGAATGCTCTCAAATCCATGGCTGACACCATGAGTTCTACAAATCCATGTACTGCCGGTCACTACAAGAGCCCAGTCCAAACTTGTACCGTTAGTTCCGGATGTGCACTCATTCTGTGCAGCGACAGGCGGCATCTCTTTCCGAACTCCTCGGCGGCAATCACATCATCTGGCTGTGCCGAATCGGCGATGTTGACACCCACTGCATGTGCCACTAGTGTGCATGCATGTGCATGCAATGCCTTTCATCATCATAGTGACTAGTGCTCAAGCAGCTTGCCTTGGGGAAAACCCTGGGAATGGCTAGCGAGTGAGGCAGCTCAAGGCGGCTCGGCATGAAAGATCAGCGAGGCGTCCGCGCGAGAGAGCGTTGCTCTATCCTGTGTGATATCGATGGGCTGAATGTCTGCAGTCAGCCTCCACAGATCCTTCTGTCTCAGCATGGACTCTTTGGAGCCACCCTGCTTGCTGCTGTGACAGTGGGCAACAAAGTACTGCTCGAAGCTGGCGACGTTCATGCAGTGACGGACGGCCAGCTTCTGCGGCATCAGGCACACGCTGTACTTGTGGACGTCAGTGTGCGCGCACGTCCATTGGAGTGGCGCCTGCTCAGGCTGCTCAAGCAGCACCTGCTTCTTGTCAAAGGCAAGCGAGCCGTCATCTAATATGCTGTTGATGGTGCGCTGGTCGTCTTTGAACTGAACGAATTTCTGCATTGCTCTCATCCAGGTTTTGCCTGAGGCAGTGAGACAAAAAAACACAGAAAATGTATTAGAGAGCACACATGCTAGACATTTTTAAGGCTTCATATCTTCAAGAGCTACAAGAGATACATCAAGTACTTGGAAGTACCTCCGAAGTAGATATAACTCATAATATAAGGACTTGTAGCCAGTGAAGCTGTCGTTGTGGTGGACGTAAAATCCACCACATATAAGCACGCACTAGCACCACCCATGGCCTAGGCAATTGAAGCATTGTACAATGGAGCAGGCGACGTGTGCTATAGAGCTCGTGCGAACAAGATTATCACGCGGCCATTGCCTTTGCTTTACATGGAGTGCTAACGTGTATTGAGTGGCACACAGTGCTGCTTTGCATTGAGATTCGAGTGGCAGACCAGTCCATGTGTTGCCATTTTCACTCCACTCCATATCAAATTCCTGACATGAGGACATAAATCGTTGCATCACTGAGGCAGCACGTTGTGTCGCTGGTTCGCGTTGCATTGCTGAACAAGCATGACTCATTGCAGGCACAATGCACCGTGAACATGCATCACTCACTGGTCTTGCGGCCTCCTCTGTACGCCAGCAGTCCCATGCACGCCGTGGCGCCCCACTTCTCCTTCTGCTCGCCCGGGTAGATATCGCGGCTGAACAGAAACCGTGCCTTGACGGCGGCGGTGGTGCCGTTCAGACGATCCAAAAACAGCGGCACAGGGTTGCGCATCCACACGGCATCAACGTCCGAGTGAATCACGGTGTACAGCCAGCGGCTCAGCCACAGGAAGACGCGCAGGCGGGTCTTCCAGAACGCCGCCGCCATGTTGAGCGACGGTATCGGCGACAGGAACAGTGAACACGGGTAGAAGCGCGACAGGAACCGGTGCAGGTCAGGACTGGGCGTGATGACTAACACCGGTGGCAAGTCAGTATTCTGGGCACGCAGACGAGAGTAGAACACCATCCAGTTTAGCAAAATGCGAGCGTACGCCACCTCACAGAACACCACCACCACGGTGCGGTTGCCCGTCGAGCAGTTAGCCGCCGCTTGCTTCAGCGACCGCACCCAGATGTCGTGGTCGAGCGACGTCTCCTCCAGGACGGCGCGGACGGACGCGCGCGACGAGTTGAACTTCTCGAAGAAGCGCGACAGGCGCGAGTGCATCTGCAGATCCCACGTCTGATGGTCCCATACCGTGGCGGGATGCAGGGGCAGTCGGCTGGTGTTCGTCCACAACCTTGCTATGGCCTGTTGGTTGTCCACATCACCATTATAGGAGAAACACAGGGATTCCAGCATGTGTTTGTAGCTATCCGTGGCAGCCGGCGGGACAGAAGAAATTGGATGGCCAGCATCCGTAGTGCCGACCGGCAGTTGAGAGACGGAAATACGAGACTGGCTGCCCCGCTGCTGTCCGTTGAGAATGTCATTGGCGCATTGTTGCCAGCGTCTCAGCTGCGCAGAGAAGCTGGCCTCAATGATCGACGTGGGTTGATCCGTTGCATACGCACTATCCCCGAGACAGCACCGTGTGTCACTGGTTCGCGTGGCATTGCTCAGCAAGCATGACTCAGACGTCGCCGTCAGCTGCCCGTTTGCCCAGTCGTGAAGGCTCTCCGCTGTGTGCTGCCCAAGATGACTATGACCAATGGTGTCGGACCCTGCATCGGAATTTCCATTGCTCCTTAGCTCATGATACACGGTGAACACTAAGTCTATAGAATCCGGTATAATGAGTATGATGTGAAGATAGCGTATACTGTTTAGATTAGTATCCAGCAGCTGCTTATGGATGATCGTGTCGATGTCTGTATAACACGCTGCCAAGCTGGGTAAGAAAGCCACGGATACTGCATCAGTAGAACTTGGGTTGCGGCCAGTTGTGGTGGTCGTGGTAGGTTTGTGGTGCGGGCCGGACGATGCGACGCTGCGAAGTATATCCCACGCTCGTCTGGCCTGTCCGGATGCAGCCCGAGAGCGGCTGTGTACTACCAGATAACGATGGTGCTGCTGACGCCCGCCGTTCGCACCGACACACTGCGACGGCTCCGATGCGGCCGCCCACACACCGCCCAAGGTTCTACCTAGTGATAATTCGACAATCTGCTGCAGTTTTGATTTCTTGCTATTCGTCTCGGATTTATTTAGCCACAGGACGTAGCTGGCAAGTACGAGAACGCTCACGACCAAGAGCCAGGCGAACAGTTTTCGTCGAATCATCTTCGTAGCGAAACCAAACCATGGTGCTTCGGCAGAGCCCGCTTCGCTACGATGGACCGGAGGAACTCTCCATACCACCCCCAGCAGGTGCACACAACATCGTCACTCGAGTCCGAATGGTAGATCTCGACCTACGATCTGCTCCCTCGCTCCCATTACATAGACCGAACCCACTAACTAAGCAACAAAATGGTCATTAAGCCCTTTGAGGGCAATGGATGAGGCTGCTACGTGCTAGTAGTAGTACTCGTAGATCTACCTCGGACGCAGCGCCCCCCATTCATGTGTCTCTTCACTTCTGAAGTTCTGCACTAACAAAAAATAGCTACTGAAGCCTAGGTGTGGTAGCAAACATAGTATGATACCGTAGCAGAAGTCAAGCAACGCACTTCATCATCATCATCGATCGATCATCATCAACAACAATACACAGACGGCATAGAGGACCGAGGTTAAAGGGGAAGTGCATCGATTTTTCAAGTAGGGCTCAGATGAAAGACAATTGGATATCGGTTCCGATGGTATATCTCTCGCTTGCGTATGGCAAGGGAAACTTGCCATATCGCCGATTTCCCGATCCCGTTTCCATGGCGACTACAGGTGATGACGCACATTCTGCTTAGCTCCGTGAAAGAGAAGGTCGATCACTGCAGAATTGTGTCATTTTCAGTTGTCTTCTTGTATTCACGAAGTGAAAGAAGTACTGTGTTCAATGCTGTTAGTGCCGTGAACTGTTTATCAGTAGTCCTCTCCGTTGTGTACTGGGACGTGACACCGACAGGGGAAAGCTGGAGTGCGGAGACGTTAGCTGGCAAGCGAAAATCGTGACGAACCAAGTGCTGAAATCTTGGTTGGGACAAATCAAACGTTCAGCATTTACCTCAACCAAGGACCATGCCGTTTGCTCTTTCCACTTCCTGAAGATGGATGCGCTGCCTGCTGGAGACTCTCCTATCTCTCGTAACATCTTCTGAAGCCAGGTGAGACGACGAGTAGCGGAGATTAACGAACGAAATAATGTCGTATTTTTTGAAATTTTTGCTGATTTCTCAGGAGAGATGGCGAATACCAAGCATCTTCTCCTAGTCTAGAGAAACCATTTCGTAGGCTACATTCCGCCTAGGGAAATGCAGGAGACGGCCTGGCTGGGGAGGCCACACTTGGAGGAGAACGAAGTAAGTGATCTTGTTTATGTTGTTCTTTGGTATTGCAATCTTATGTTTGACGAACATACGGCATGGTGCATAGTTGGTCGTTGAGTGCCTGCATGTGCATGTATAAGTGTGTGCTGATAAACACTTCCTATACAAGAATCTGACACTCATGCTCTCTTTCTTTCTTGCAGTATATGCGCACGCGTCACGGTGTGTGTTGTGTGTATGTGTGTGTGTGTGTGTGTGTGTGTGTGTGTGTGTGTGTGTGTGTGTGTGTGTGTGAGCGAGAGAGAGAGTGTGTGCAGGAGCAGCGTGGAGCATGCCAGTGTGATCGCTGTGGCCGTTGCTTTCTTAGCTATGGCGTTCTTGCCTGTCACAAGTGTGTGGCTCAGCCCCCAACGACAGTGGAGCCGTGTTGTGGTGAATACTGTGTGTCCTGCGACCGCTGCTTCCGTTCTGTCCAGGGCAGGAATAGACACCGCTGCTGAAGCTCTCCGCGGCCGTACGTCAGTCTCGTGGCAGATGACCCGAACTCTCATTTTGTGTGTGTGTGTGTGTGTGTGTGTGTGTGTGTGTGTGTGTGTGTGTGTGTGTGTGGTGTATGTATGTATGTGTGTTGCTCCCTACATAGACAAACTCTTGTTTTTGTGTCCCGGGTGCCATGGGGCGGCGTTCTCCCATTCTCTCTCCACTGCCCCTCCGGGCCCACGTGGCAGTGACTCGACAGGGCAGGGCAAGTGTGTGTATGGTGTATGGTGCATGGTGTGTGCTGGCATGTCTGTATAAATATGTTGGACAGGAATTTGTTCACCCACAACGTTCACGGGAAACCATGCTAGGTGTTGCTGGAACGTATGGAGTCTGCAAGCACTTACAATAACTTACGTCATGTCACAACAAAGAACGGTGCAGTGTTTGATCCTCATGTAAACATGATGGTGATGGTACCTCACCTAAGCTACCCATGAAGCTAGAAAGAACATCAGGTCAACAGGATTGTACCAGAGGAAAGCATCTATTGCCCGAACTTCTTCATATGAAATGAACAATACCCTTTTCCATAGAGACAACATGCAGATGAAGCGTATGGACAAATAATATATAAATGGGCCATTCACTGAGGGCATGGAATGATCTCTACGTGTAGATTGGATAGACTCATGCACGTCTGCAAGGAAAGCATTTGTTCATGGGCTGATTGAGTTCACATGGACTAAGTTCATACATGCCATCTCTCCTGAGATATGTTCAGCAAAAATTTCAAAACATACGACATTATTTCGTTCGCTAATCTCCGCTACTCGTCGTCTCACCTGGCTTCAGAAGATGTTACGAGAGATAGGAGAGTCTCCAGCAGGCAGCGCATCCATCTTCAGGAAGTGGAAAGAGCAAACGGCATGGTCCTTGGTTGAGGTAAATGCTGAACGTTTGATTTGTCCCAACCAAGATTTCAGCACTTGGTTCGTCACGATTTTCGCTTGCCAGCTAACGTCTCCGCACTCCAGCTTTCCCCTGTCGGTGTCACGTCCCAGTACACAACGGAGAGGACTACTGATAAACAGTTCACGGCACTAACAGCATTGAACACAGTACTTCTTTCACTTCGTGAATACAAGAAGACAACTGAAAATGACACAATTCTGCAGTGATCGACCTTCTCTCTCACGGAGCTAAGCAGAATGTGCGTCATCACCTGTAGTCGCCATGGAAACGGGATCGGGAAATCGGCGATATGGCAAGTTTCCCTTGCCGTACGCAAGCGAGAGATATACCATCGGAACCGATATCCAATTGTCTTTCATCTGAGCCCTACTTGAAAAATCGATGCACTTCCCCTTTAATTTGTAGACGCCTTTCAAAGCAAAGAAAGATCTCTCCGGTGATCTGCTGTATTATTATGTAGCGAAGTAACACGTCGTTGGTTAGTTTTTGTTGCCATGTCAGTGAAAAGAAACAGAAACGTCGTGCACGCGTGATCATGGTGATGGACCCAGCCCAACTGATACGGCATAGATCTACGTGGGTCGTTGTGTTCGTGCCGTGGTTCTAGTCCACCAACTCAACTACTTCCCACCAAGCCAGGGTCTACGCCACATAACATGGCCAGAGTCCCGACACTGCGTCAGCTCCCTACCACATGCACACCTCGCTACATGCACACGTGCACGTCGATTATTTCGCTCATGTTATCATCCCAAACAGCGTGGGGTATAAAAATGCGACTGGCCTTGCCACTCCACGAGTCTCGATTTCAAGAGGTGAGCGAAGCGCCTGCTGCCAGTGCTGGGAACCCATTGCTAGCTGACAGCAAGTCGTCGTGGAGTTGTCTTTCTGTCATGGCAAGAGTGGCAACAACCGCCGAGTACATGCACTGCCGACAGGACGAACACAAGACGCGAGTGAGAGAAACCAACCATATCCAGCTACTTCTGTCCGAGGCGGCGCTCTCCTGTTCATTCCATGGAGGCTGCCGTTAGCGCTTTGGTGGATTCGCCGGCATGGCTTCAGGTAGGAGGAGGGAGCCTGCCTGGTTTTTCCGCGTTCCACTTTGCTGCAGGACGGGCGTGAGCATTGCGGGGCATTCAAATTCTTCATTCAAAAAGGACTTCTTCAAACGCCGGTCGAGCGACTGACCTTCTCTTCATTCAAACTTTTCCTGTATCCTCCCTTTGACTTTCTCAGGTTTACGGCCTACAACGCCAGAAGCTAACGCTGCCGCAGGTGTTGGCGACGGTGGGTTTCAAGCATAGCGAAGGTAAGCCACAACCGAACACGCACCCTACAGGTGGGGCAAAAGTGCAAGTCGGAGGTAGCGTTCTGAACAATACTGTCCATTTGGTGGTGCTGCTGCTGCTGGGACACTAACGGCCGTGAGCACTGGCGCAGTACGGCCGGCCTGTCCTGCCGTCCAACCTACAACCATCAAGCCTGGCCGTGAAATCATTGAGCCGCCCACTGCCCCCCCCCCCTCCTTTCATCAAGACCTTCCATCATTCTTGGCTCTGAATTCAATGAGTTTGGTCACCATAACTTAAAGGGGAAGTATACCCTAAAATCAAATTTTCACCAGTTGTAGTCTTCTGGGTGCTGAGTCGAATGGTCTTGGTCCGAGGAAGCTGCGACGCTCCCTTCCTACTTGAATCCCAATCGAACTCGCGCACTTCCACCGAAACTGGGTGACTGCGCCCTACTAGATGGGGATTTGTATGCAAAATGTCACTAAAAGCGCCATTTCGTTCTTATAAAAGCACGGATGACCGCGATTGGCCCATATGTTGTAGTCTTTTGGACGCTGAGTCGATTGGTTTTGGTCCGAAAAGGCTGCGATGCAGCGTTCCTCCTTTATTCCCAATCGAACATGGTTGAACAAGTGGTCACGTGCTCCTGGGTGCCCAAATCACCTGGTCACCGCGCCAGCAGGCGACAACTTTCACACCAAGGTTCAACTCGAGTTCAACTCGAGTGACAGGACTGCACCCAAAAAAGGTCAAACAGGCTAGTAAGTTGTACCCTGCAGGCACGGTGACCAGGTGACTGGTGTACGCAGGAGCACGTGACCGCTTGTTCAACCATGTTCGATTGGGAATAAAAGAGGAACGCTGCATCGCAGCCTTTTCGGACCAAAACCAGTTGACTCAGCGTCCAAAAGACTACAACATATGGGCCAATCGCGGTCATCCGTGCTTTTATAAGAACGAAATGGCGCTTTTAGTGACATTTTGCATACAAATCCCCATCTAGTAGGGCGCAGTCACCCAGTTTCGGTGGAAGTGCGCGAGTTCGATTGGGATTCAAGTAGGAAGGGAGCGTCTCAGCTTCCTCGGACCAAGACCATTCGACTCAGCACCCCGAAGACTACAACTGGTGAAAATTTGATTTTAGGGTATACTTCCCCTTTAAGCTGTACCACCCACACCTACACATTACGTGCATCCACACTTGCAGAATGCACACTGTCCACAGGAAGGACCCGCAGCCCCTTGCCGGTCTGTGTCCTGAGTGTCACGCCCAGTGCTAGCCGCTCTACACAAACGTCTGAGCGGAATATCAAAACGATTACCAAAACGACGCTTTGCTCTTATGCTAGCGATTTCCAACTGCACCGTATGCCCATACTCGCGGTGTGTAGTGCAGTGCAGGGCGCCGGGAACCAGGCGCAGCAATTGTAATCCATTCGGTTGTGTGTTTTGCTCCAGCGTATGTGCGCGGTGTTGGTCGCCCAGTGGAGGCGCGTTACAATCGCGGACTGTTTCCGCAGTATCAGGGCAAGGATGGCACGGTGTACAATGTAAGTCCAGTGGGGTTTTTTTGGCTCTGTTTTTGTTTTTAAATTTCGACCAGTCGGCTACTATACTTCTTTGTTCATCATGTAGAGGTGTGACGCCTTTCGGCACCGGGAGTTAATTTTTTTTTTTTTTTTTTTTTTTTTTATCAAATTTTAGTTAACAGGTCGCTCGACTTTTTTTGATTAAAAAAAGATTGAACTCTGATATTGAGCCAATGTAATCATGGATAAGTAAATATTATCTGGTGTGAGGGAAAGAGACAAACGGGAAAAGTCTGAAGAAAAAATTGACTGTCACCACCAGGACTCGAACCAGGGACCTTCGCTTGTAGCCAGCGATGCTCTAACCACTGAGCTATGGTGTAGTCGTCATCCCAGCAGAGGCCGTTCAACTATTTCTTCAGACTTCGTAACTCACACTTCCTTTGAATCCACACAGGCGGGTGGGACGCAGCCCTCACTGTAACCCACACACTTCACGTACAAACTTGCACGCGGGGAGCCCCAAGTCATAAAAATATTAACTGGTTTGAGGGCGCTAAACCCATCAGTTTTGAGCTCAACCGATTGCCTTTGGGATACAGAGTCAGCTGGAGAGACGCCGAGTTGACAATCAATCACTCTTGGTACATGGACTCTACGGGAATCTACGAAGGATGTGACTACCCTCGTGTCTACCGTGTGTGGCGTTGGTGATGACATCAGCGTGAATCTCAACCCGGCCCAGTGTGCCATGCTGCACGTCAGGAGAGGAAAACCAGATGAAGGATGCTCTATCCAGGTTGGTGATGAGACCATTGCAGAGTCACTACGACTCAATGAAACATACAAGTACCTTGGAGTAGTGCAAGCAGCCATGATACCTCACCCGCAGCTCAAGACGCAACTCACCGCAGAATACAAAAGAGATTACCTTTGCTTCTGAACAGTGGATTGAATGCGAGAAACGTGATCAAGGCCATCAATACGTATGCTCTGCCGGTTATGACATATAGTTATGGAATCGTAAATTGGACCGAGGCTGAGATAAAGACCACAGATCGAGCGACAAGATCATCCTTGACTGCGTCTGGATTTCACCACCCCAACGCCTCAGTCAACAGGCTCTACATGAAGAGGGGAAATGGAGATTATGCATTATATATTTTCCCCTAGTAGCGTCTTCATTGGTATCTTTTTTCTGTAAACTTGATTTCAGGAACGCCTGCAGTAGTAGACGCTGGAGGAAAAGCTTCTGCACTTGTTTCTGAAGAAATTGCTGCTCGTTCTTCACCCCAGTCACCATATGGATGAATTACTAAATACAACTCGACTGTTTCCCATTCTGTCCAAGCCAAACCTACCATGTCTTATTGTTAGTATCTTGCAACTTCCAGCGTACCACTACAGAAACCAATACTACTCGTATAGACAACTGAAGGTAGGCCACCTTATAGTGCAGCTGATGAAGATTAAACTCTGACATACTGCCTCGGCCGCCGAGCCCATCCGTCACTGCAGAGCGTAGTGCAATATTGACAATGTGCGGGTAGCAGCCGATGAAACAGTGTTGGTGTTCAGCAGTCGTCCAAGCTCCACGGCTTGTCCTTTCTTACCCGCAGAATGGATACTCGCATAGTCATCAGTCGCGCCTACAAGCAAGAAATCATAGCACAAGACAAAGCATGTTTTGACAAGTGATTCCATCGTTTCTAGCAGCTTGACACTGTGGCAAAGGAGAGAGTTCATACCCCGATGATCAAATTAATAATGCTGATAAATAGCGTGTCTGTATTTCGTGGCGAAAAAGAGGGGGGAGGGGTGCGGCTTATACTCCAGGGGGTATGGTAGTACAAACTGAAGAATATTCTGTTCACTGGCTAAGCTATTGCTGCTCATCACTCTTTATACGACTCTAGTATTATGGAACCCTCCCCCTCGACAGGCGGGAAGCCATTGGGGGGAATCCTTAACTTAAACAATAAAAATTACAAAATTACAGGATGGATCTGGGTCGCTCCCCTTTGCCAAAGCTCGGTATGGTCACGATAACTTGCCATCGGGTGTCCCATTTTCCGGGGCCATTACTTATAACTGGAAGTGCATAAAAACAGTGTGTGATCTTGCTGGCTCTCATGGTCCTCTGGGACAGATGCCTTACTTTAGAACGGCTCATTATAGCCAGTACACATTTTAGGGTTTTCTGAATCGGCGGGACCAATTCGCGATGAAATCTTTTAGCGATCCATGTTTCAGAGATAAAAAAAGAAGAGATTACTAGTGGGTGTACTGTACATGCAAAATTTCGATTGGTGCGAAATACTTCAGCGAAAACACTCCTTTTGCTAAAATTGCTAAAGTATCACTGGCGCTAACATTAGCAGTTTTACAATACCCTCTCCCCCTTTTGCCGGAGCATGGTCCCTACAACACACTGACTGCCCCCTTCCCCAGGGTCACATGAACGGAAGTGGGAAATGCCAGCATGTTGCCATGTTTCTGGAAGTCCTCTGTGTCTGAGTTGGTTGCCTATCAGAGTGGCCCCCCTGGACGGATTCTTCTGCGTTTTCATTACCGCTATCTATGCCCAGCTAACAGCAAGCCCCCATCAACTGGAAAATATCGGTAAGAAGGTCCTGTCCGCTATTGAGCTGCTCAAGAAGCGCTTGGAGTTTCTAACAACTGGAAGGTGAGCAAGACGTGTTAGCCATGGTTGGCTATAAAACCCCTGCAATCGCCATGCAAAGTGGTCATTGGCTACCCCAGCCATGTATTGCTTGGAATAAAATAAAATAAACAAATAAGACCGTATGTTAGAGGGGTACATGTACCGGTGATTCGACTCGGGCGCGTCGGACATGCTACGGTCACTACGTTATTGACCGTACCACTTTTTGACCCCAGTCCAGGGTATACTCTAGGACGAATTTCCAACCGGTTACGGTCCAATGAAGAGTCCGGGGGTCCCCCCTGAAAAAATTTTCAAAATACAACCCAAATATGGCACTCGACAGCAATTTAACAGATTTCTTGGTGCTGGAGTGTAGCAAAGATATAAGCAGCTCCATTCACCCACAGAAAAGTACGGGCGGTTGGAACTGATTTGTAATTTTTCAACCGGTCGCCAACAATTTCAACCGGTCGAAAACCGGTTGGGGCGGTTCTAGAAAATTCCCTGCAGTCACCCAGTGAATCAATAAAATACACTTATCCGGGCTCTGAATTCCCAAATTTTCCGGCTCAGCCTCCACTCCTCCACAAGTACGTTGTACTTCAGATGGCTGACCGTACCGCACTACAATACCTTCCGACGCCCCTGGAACTCGCCGTGGAGGCTGCACTTGAACGCTAGCTAGCAATGCACCATATGTTTAACTCCCGCGGTATTAGACTGTGTTTGCAGCCATTTTAGCTCCCTCCGTATTAGTCTCTTTTCACAGCCATTTTAGCTCATTTTCTTCCTGTTCAGGTTGCGCTTGTGTTTATTTTACCCGCACAAGAGGCTTGGGTACCCTGTGAAAAAATAGAATAGAGGGCTATCTACTCAGTAGCATTGTCTTCTCTCTCTTCAATGTTCATTTTCACACACTTGCATTCCACAGCCGCAAGGTGTTTGGTGCCATCCATGCACGGCGTCCTATCATCGTCGTCAATGCCGTCGAATCACACGTCGGGCAGGAGAGCTCCCTGCACGACGTCGTTCCGATAATTGGCGACGTCGTTCACGAACAGCTGGCCGGCAAAGAAGCATTCAATATCATTTGGTGAGTCACAGTGCCAGCTTTGTGCGAGCGAAATTACGGTTGCCTGGCGCCTGATCATGGGGTGGTGGCGTCCCACGGAAACGGAAAGGTGGTCCTTGACCAGGGAGTTGTACGACTCTTTGTTCTTGACCTGCCGGGTACGCGAACCCGTCGAATTTTTTTGGCGTGAAATACGACCTCGTGAACAATGTAATGCTAGGCTCAGTTGCAATTAGATTCCTTGTGCTTCGCTCTATGGCACCAGCCGCAATTATTTGATCCATGAGGGTGAGAATTTACATGCCAGTTCGTTGTTTTCCCAACAACCTGAGGCAATCCCTCTCAGGGAAAAAAGGAACGATCTGATGAATGTGGAAAGCATTGGGCCAACTGTGACTGCCGTATCAGTTATGTGGAGGAGTCGTTTTAGTCAACCAGCCATGATGCTAAAATGAATACAGTTGTCCATGAACTTGGAGAGTTTTGGCTGCTCGTGACAGTGCTCAATACACCAAGGTGCAGAGCCTAGTACACACACTTGAGAGTGCAGCCTGTATCAAACATATCTTCCTGAAAATTGTAGTCAAGTTGCTGTCTGGTGATCGGTTAAAACGTGAAAAGAGTTACGGCAGAAACGCTTTTGTTCCTCTCAAGTGTGTGGTGTGTACAGTTGTCCATGATCCTAAAATGAATACAGTTGTCCATGATGTACAGTGCTGGCAACTGAAATCGGACCCCCTGAGCGGTGCACTCACATCGCAAAGAATGTGAACCCACCGCTAAGGGGGTCGGATTTCAGTTGTCAGCACTGTATATGCCTATGTACTGTACTGTGTATCGGCTGGACCGTATTTCCCCAATTATAAGTCACACTTGATAAGTCGAAGCCCATTCTCACGTCCGAACCAAATCGTCTCAATGCATTCACATAGGGAAGAAGTCACACTCGATTGTAAGTCGCACCCCCTTCTTTACCCTTGAAGTTTAGTGTAAAACGGTGCGAGTTACAATCGGGGAAATACAGTGGGCTATACAATGGACACTGTACTGCGTTGCTCATGCAGGGCAAGCGGCGATATCAAGGCCTGGCGAGACTCCTGCCAGCCGCAGCCCATAGATGTTTGCTCTCCCACCGACGCAGCGTCCTGGCTGGGTGCTCAGAGCCGGATACTGCCAGCTCGCATGTCCAACACATCCAGCGGCTCTTCTGCTGCCGAAGCACTCAGCATTGCCATGGGAGATAAATATGTGAGTCAAGGCCACTGGTTCGAGTAGTTCAAGCATGCCACTGATGTTTAAGTACAAGCTAAAATGAATCGTAGCGAGTAGTGTACATGCGCCTGGCATGCCAGCAAAGCCCGAAGATCACTTTTTGGCATTCATTTTCTGGCTTTGCGCATGGCCGTGTACTACTGCGTACCTGTGCACTACTGGCCTGCGAGCCTTCCCGTTGCTTTTGGTGTAGCTGCAAGATATGGCATGGGTGCGGCTCGTACAGTGCCAAAGTTCAGGTTTGCATGCGTTGCCCATGCAGTGACGCTGGTGTGATCACGTAATCACGTAGTGTGCGAGCACGCCGCTCCCATGGTCGGATTTCATTTGCCATCACCGTATATGGCATCTGCCACTGTTGTTTGCAAATGTTGTGCTGACGGACGGTATGTGACAGTGAAAAACTCTGCACCTATCTAACCTCGTTTCATTTGGCTTTGCCTTTACTCGTCTCTTGTACTGCATGTATGACACTGTATCAGGCTGACGCTGTCTATTTCTTCACCGAAGGCTCGCTGACGGATAGTTGCCGGTACATTCTACAGAACAAGGTACACACAGTAACGCCCTGGTTTTAAACAACCATGCGCTGCGATTGGAGACGGCTCATTAAGCATCGTGTAGATCGTATGTTGACGTATGCATTCTCTGATTTGCATGCACATGGTGGATGGTGTCTCCGTATTCACAAGTCTTGTTGGCACACCTTACCCGATCCAGACATATTTTGCAGAGGTTGATCGTGTTCCTTTCGCTATACTAGTAGGCTGTTGCTCTTTCTACATACATAGCTATGGAGTCACAGTATGGCGGGACGGGAAGGGGGGGGGGGGGAGATCTTCCGTTAAAACAGGATTTGTAATCTAAGGGCATGCAGTGTGCTTGATTATGATCCGATGTGTACAGGCACAGACGTCGGGTATCCCGGTCAACGTGATTGCCTTCAACTGCACTGAACGCTCAACCTTGGACGCTCTCAAGTCGATCTCCAAACTTTCGGGCGGAATGTACGTACACTATCATAAGCCTGAAATGCTGGGCCATGTTGAGTCATGATGTATGTCGAATGCATGCGTTGGAAGTGTTCACAGAATAAAGCTATATGCATGATAGCACACGAGCAATAGATGCTTTATAGGAAAAAAGATGCTTCTCATGAGAAGTCCACCCGGATGTGGCTGTTACTCAGAGTTTCGTGTTAAGAAACACCCATCAGACAGCGTAAAATATGTGGTTGTGATAGTCCTACAGCTGTGCAACGGGTACCGCTTACGCTAGTAGCTGCCACTATGCCGTGGTAGAGTCGAGTACATGTATGACCAAGACAACTGTGCAGCTGGGATCAACGGGGGTGCAGACAATGCATCGATTGCCGTATATAGAACGAGAGACTAGTAATGTATGAGCTAGTGCGTGGTGCATGTAAGTTCAGCGCTGTAGGTGTGTGCGTGCTAGTCGCAAACCGCACCAGCGGTAATTGTACATTGAATATCGATCCTGGAGGCAGTTTCCTGAATGGTGATTCAGGTGATTGTTGCGGTGATAGCTCTTTACAATTCAGTCCAGGTGATCAGGTGATGGTGAGCCGTCAGATCTTCGCCGTCATTTCCTGCGCTAGTATGTGCAGTGCAGAATGCATTGCTGTCATGCTCCTGGTCAGTAGGATATGAAGTCATGTCTTCAAGCTGGAGCGGACAAGCTAGCAGTGGCACTCAGGACCTGCTTCCATGAGGGTCTGCTCTTGACGACTGCATACACCCCGGTCAGCATCCAGAGCGGCGGAAGAGAGTTGCGAGTTTTCATAGCCGGGTGCTGGTGACACCGAGTGGTGTGGTGCAGCGAATGTGTCACCTGTACTACTGGTGTCCATTGTGCTCTCATGATGTGCTGGGGTCTCGTTCAAGACCCGGCCGGAGCTTTGGGATGCGGACACAGGGAGCGCATTCAGGAAAGAGGATGACGCTGGCGTCGACACTGTTTCCGCTGCAGCTGCTAAAAACTTGCTGGCATCACTGGCCAGGTCTGTACGTCCAGGTGGTATGAGCCACAGCTCTCTGTGTCACTACAGATCCTAGCAAGGACATGCGTGAATCCACACGCACAGCACCCTGGGGAGGGGCGTAACTCTCCAGGGGCGGGGCGTTGGAAAGTACCTAGCGACCTAGCAACACGTACCGTACTACAAACACATATCATCACTCTGCTGCTAAGGCAATTCCAGAATCGATTTTCCTGCTCCCATCATCAGTGGATAATGCGGAACTAAGTCGAAAAGATAGATTTTAAGGTGAAATCATACTTAAATGCCAGAGTAGTGTTACGTTTGACATTCAAGTGCTACAGCAGTAGCTGGAACTTGAAGCAAGTGTGTCGCTCCAAAGCCTTAAGTCAAAAGCCTTTCGTCAAACTCGTGCGTTGCAGATACGCACAGGTGCTATCAGCAAAACACCTACAAGCAGTTAACCCGTTGCCATGGTTACTTACCAGCTAGCTATGTGATGTATGTATGTCCGGGCTGGTCAGCACCAAAGATGCACTCATGCTACGAAATCTAGACTTCTTTCGTGCGTGCATGCTGTTCGACATTTCAAGAGACTTCCTCACTGGCCATGGGCCATCCTGGAAATAAAGAAGAATAACAAAGGAATATTGTCGGGGGTTGTACGTCACGTATAGTTTCTTGTGTACTTTGATAGTACTGTTATGAAAAACGTCAGCGACTGTTAGCATTTAACTTTGCAACCATTTGGAGATAAAGCCTCCGCAACAAGGGGGACGGATTGTGCCGCAAGCATTTCCTACCTGTCGACATCGATACACAAATTATGTAGAAGTTCTTGCGATACCATTCTTCCTCTTTGCTGTTTTATTAAATTAAGTTCGTCTAACTTTCACTTCTTTCGGCAGCATATTTTGGTGGCAAGGCATCCTACTGGACTATCAAGCGTGCTGGCATCTCAAGTGCTCGCTTAACCCATTCCGTGCTAAAGACGTGTATATCCGTCATTGAAAATGACGTCCAAGCGCTGAGGACGTTTATAGGTCTTTTTTCAATGCCAAATAAGGGGTGCAGAGCCTGGGTGCTATGACCTGTAGCCTTAAATGCGTTATTTGAGACACGTCCATGTCCATTGTATCTCCCACTACATTCTCTTGCAGCTGCATGACGGCATCAAGCATGCAGTCGGACACAGCGATCGAAACTGGCGAACCGCACTGGATGCAGTACGTCCGAACGCATCGCGCCACGGGCGGCGGTGCCATCTCACCCCTGCCACCACTTTCCAAGCCTGCCGTCTCGTCATGGCCTCAGGCGCCACCGCTCACGCCCACCACCACCACCACCACCACAACATCCAGGACACCCGGAAATGGCTTGCAAGTGGTCCGCGAAGCGGTGCAGCTGATCTGGGACGAACTGGAGGATGCTCGGAACACGCTGGCCGAGCTGCAGGCCCTTGCGTATGATCTTCCTCGACCACAGTCCGCCCCTCTGCCACATGGTAAGACAGAGTGCATGGTCAAGTATGCTACGCTCACTTAGCTAGTCAATGGGTTGGGCTTACCAATCCTGGATGCAGTTCCCCACATATTACAGTACTGCCGGGCGCCGAAGAACGACCAGGCTAGCATTTCACCAAGCACAGCATACCAATGTATACACGGTGACTCAACTGTGCATAGACTGTAATACATGAAAATAAGAACGGTCTAGGCTAGGAGGCTGACCCCCAGCAGTTCTTCGGCGACCAACAGTACTGTAGACATGCAGTGAAACGTGCCGTTTAAGGCGATCACTCAAGGGACCTACTAAATGTGGCCGCCGTGTGGTCTCCTTAGCCAGGGTCATTTGCCTGGAGATAACATCCCTTGGTCCTGCCACTCCTGGTTTTAGTGGTGGTTTAGCGTGTGCGCTAAGCCCTGTTAACGAACGTGGAACATCTACCACTCATACTTAGTCTGATGATCATGCATCTGATTATGATGTCATTGCTATACATGCGCATGCGCAGTGCGCGCCACTCTCCCACGCATGCATTCCAAATCTTGCTTTAGAGAGAGAGAAGGAGAAAAGAGAGACTCCTTTGTCACTTTTGCTTTCTGACGACTTGACTGTTCACGGGTTTGTCCGTCAGTGTCAATTTCCCCTTCCCTCCCAACCCCATTCGACTGGGGATCACTATCTCTCCGTCACTGTCACCATAATTTCCTCAATAACAGTGTCAGTACAATTCTTGTCAATATACTTATATCGGGTGAGGGCAGTCTATCTCCGCAGCTGGCTCATTTCAATCACTACCGGTCGCAGCTCCTGCCCACGGCAGGCCGACCGTCTCTCGTTCACACTCTGTGTGCTCCAGGTCACAGCTCCTGCGCAGAGCAGGCCGACCTGTCTGTCTCTCTCTCACACACACTATGTGTGCACCGGGTCACAGCTCCTGCGCAGAGCAGGCCGACCTGTCTTTCTCATGCACGCCAGCTGCTCCGCCCAATATCCCTGATATGCCAACCAGAAAACAATGTGTTCTGAGCCGGGTGCATGCCTGTATGTGGAGAGTGCGTTAATGGTCCTCTGAGGCAGGTTGTCACCTTAATCAGAGTGGCCATCTTGACAGGTGTTACTGATCATTCAAGCCCAATGCGGAATGCATGTCAGCTGCTGTTGGGCAAACTCGCGCACATGCACAGCATACCTGTTTTCTGTACGCATTGTTTCAGGTTGCATTGTAGCGGCATGCTTAGAAAGTCGACTAGGATAATTCAGCTTGTCAGGCTGTTTCACTATGAACAGTTGCGCTGAAACTGATTTCGTGAAAACCGCACCATTAATTTTATCCTGTGATTATCAAGCAATAAAATATGGGCTATTTAGGCCCAATTTACCAAACAAATTTCAGAGGGACGGCCCTGGACCTCCTGCCTTTTCATTCATTCATTTAGAATACCTTCCGACGCCCCTGATCTGTACCCGGGGTCACATTTAAAGGTCCCTTGAGCGGTGGCCTTGGAAAGGTCTCACTATTGATGTGTATGAATCCAAAAGAACTATTGATTGGCGTATAGGTGCTGTGTATCAACACAAACCCCATTGCCGGTTTGGTTCTGCTTGCTTGTTTGCCACAGACCAGGACCGGGCAGCGGCGACAAGCTCGCCCAGGGTTGGAGACCAGGACGCTGTGCCTCACCACGACCTCTTCGTCAGCTCCAAGGAATGGTTGCAGGTATGCATGACCAGTCTGTTCTCCTCTACCTTTGTGCCTTTATCAGAACGCTCGCCCGGGACCAATTTCAGCCGATATCATTCCCACATAACAGTGTCCGATAATTCGAACTGAGCAAGCACACACCTAATTAGGACTGCGAAATTGAAAACTGTGTGGGATTTCTGCTGGTAATTTGCAGTTGGCAAGTTACGAAGTTAGTGTGCACGATAAACGTTAGTTCAGTGTGCAATGTTTGGATAGTTGAAATGTCTGCATTATTAGCGACTCCCCTCCCCGCAATTCGGGCAGACCTGTAATATTTATTTTCTATTTTCCACACATCATGGCATACAACAAACACAGCCATTTCAAGAAAGTAAGTGTAAATCCAACCAAAATAATAAAATAATAATAATAATAATAATAATAATGCAATGAATATAACTAAATGCGCACTCATATCACAACCATGGGGACTGTCTCCACGTCGCCTTTTTAAATAATAATAATAATAATAATATTCGCGGGATCCGCGTCGGCATCGCTTGAATGTTCAGAAACACACAAACTAGCCTCCGCATGCCACCACTATGCCAACCTAAAACGTTATTTTTTCTGCTTCTGTGTGCAGACTCACGGCATCGGTGCTCGCAAGCTTCTGCTTCACGACGTCCTCTCGGGCCTGGCCTTCCGCCACTGCGACTCCGTGGTGCGCTTTCACGATCCGATGACCAGCATCGCCGGGGAAATCACACCAACGAGCCAGGATCGGCTGGTCGGTGCCAAGTACTGCGGGCACTTTGCCCATTTCAGGTACGGGCACTTGACCAATATTGCGTGCGGGCCCTGAGTCAATATTAGGTGCAGGCACTTTTCCAATTTTAGGTGCGGGCACTTTTCCAATTTTAGGTGGGGTACTTGCCAATTTTAGGTGCAGGCTATTACCCCCATTTCAGGTTAGCATACCAGTATTGAAATTTACCACCAGTTTCTACTGGGTAGTGCGATGATCGATTGAATTTCAATTGGCAAGGCTTGTTAGTGTTGTATGTCATTGTGAGTGTGTGGTTGGGTTCTGGTCCAGGTGGCCGGACGGCAGTGTAGTTCACATTCACGTGACGAATGAGATCGTGCGCAACTACCACATCCAGATGACGAAGGCCATCGACTCCTACCTCGCCAGGTGAGCGAAATACATTTTGAAACCAAACATGCATGAAACTTACCAGAAAAAGCACCAAATTCTGCCAATTTTTCTGCCGGCATAATCCGCCGGTGCCTACCATAAATCTTTTGTTGCCATGGGAGGTATGCATCAAAGATAGCCGTCACCTTTTTTGGGGGGCAAGTTGCCTCATTTTTTGGCAGGTACAACCCATTCTAGTACATTTATGAGTATGACCACACAAAGTTCATGACCTTTTATGCAGAGCTGGTATCACGGTGTGTACGGTTGTAGTACACTTGCCCCGCAAAACCTGACGGTGGGAAATGGATACATATGTCCTAAGTTATCCCTTTGCTACGCTGTCTAACTTTGTTGCGTGTTTGTCCACCGACACTTCCATTTCTTTGTCGCAATGTAGGATAGAGTGGCTGAGGCAGGGTAGCAGGGAGCTGTTTGGCACGCTCATCGAAGACAAGGTATGGAACTGTATTCGTGCGACCCTGCTGGTCATGGCGTACTCAAATACTTTTTCAATGGACTGGACTAATGCTATGCTTTAGTTCTGCACCACGCTTTTGTTACCTCCGGCATGAGTGACAGATGGATGCGGCCAACATAAGTATTGTTTTGTAACCAACCGCCGTCCGCTTGTGGTCCTGATCCACCCACCTTCCACCACTATAGGACTCGCATTTGATGCGTAGATTGTGGCGTCTGGGAATATCCGATGACAGTTAAGAAAGGAAAATGGGTACATACTTTTTTGCTGTTTCCAAAGAAAATGTCCTTCAAGTACCTAGTATCATGTTTCTGTGGCATGCGTGCTCAGGTGTGCATCGTGATTGATGCTTCCTCGTCAATGAAGAATCGCCTGGACCTAGTCAAGGCGAAGCTACAGATCCTTCTGCAGGTAAGTGTGTCGCCGCTACGTGCACTCTGGTCCCGCTTTTATTGCGATGTAATCCAACGTGTCCGATCTGGTGTATGATCTATTTCTGCTTTCAGGAGCAACTCCGGCACAAGTCAATGTTCAACATTATGCGCTTCAGCTCCAGCGTCGTGTCTTGGCGACCCACCATGGTTCATGTTACCTCACAGGTATGGGCTCAGTAACCTTCAGATGACACTTCAAACCTGGTTTGTGATTAATCGCCTGGTAATATTATTGGGCCAAAAAAGTTCATGTATTCTATGTAATTAATAACATGGATTGAGCTCTTAGGATGTGCTTTCTTTTTCGTTTTGATCTTCTTGCCTGTTCTGGTGGTGAAGAATTTGCAAGATGCATGGCGGTGGATTCTCTCGCTGAATGCTGGTGGCAGTACGAATACACTGGCGGCATTACGTCTCGCCTTGGCCGATGCGTCTGCCCAGGCAGTGTATGTGCTAACCGATGGGAGGCCTGATCAGGTATGTATTTGAATTTTGTATGGGGGAGGGGAGGGGAGTGGGGAGGTGAGGAAATGAGTTGGGAGAGGGGGGGGGGGGGGGGGAGGAAGGGTAAGGGTAGGCACTTCAGGTTGTTTTTTGAAAACCAGAAATACTCGTATTTCTTTCTTGTATCCGATTCAGATAGGTTTAGAAGACTCCACAGAAAATTTGAAGCAAAAAGAATAACTTGGCACAGAGATATAGCCACCCAAAGTCGGAGAATTGAATAACGGCAAATTCAGTATTTCGACGGCACCAGCAGCATATCAGAAATTGGCAGGACTTGCTTCAGTGTCTATTGGCAAAATACCAGGCTCGCTGGAAGCAGGTCAAAATAACCAGATGAATGCAGAAACAGCATGGTTTGGAAAACTTCGCATTTTTCATTCGTCCGGCAGCTCAGACGAAGATATCGGGTGTGGTCACCATGGCAACATCATAGCAACAGCATAGCAACTCCATCGCAACAGCATGAAAACAGTGCAGAGAAGCCTTTGGGAAAGCATAAGATGAGACTTTGAGGTAAGATAAAGTAACTACAATAATTCAGTGCCAGAACACATTGTCGCTACATGTACAGTATGACGTGGTGACGAGTACGGAGGAACAATGAGCCGAAGACTGAGCAAACTAGAATTTTACCGGGTATTTGACGGAAAGAAATGACACACATGTAGAACATCGTCTGCAAATTTTTGGGACTACTGAAACTTCAGCAACCTCCAGCATGAGAGATTTTGTGCGTAGAGTGTGTGCTGGATTCTTGGTATTATAATATTGTCGTGGCCTAAGGCTGAGTGTCGTCTCTACGTAACTCCGTAACCCGAAGTCCGTTGACACAAAATATATGTGCACTTCTTAGCCCCAAACCCAAGCGTAACGGACAACACAAAGCACAAGCAGTTAGTTGTGGATTCAGTCCAGGTTCAATAGTGAGGAAGGTTGTTGCGCTCGCTCAGTTGGGTCAAACTCTCTCTAAAGGAGTAAAAGGGAAAGCAGGCTCTAATATAGTAAAAGAGAGTAAAGGAAAGAATAGAGATCGGGGAATTGGGAGGTAGGGTAGTGATAGCAGCGAACGAGCTGTGAGCTGCGCTAAACTAACTATTGCTAATGATGAATTGGAGTAGCAAAGCGGAACAGCAGACCAGCGGACCGGCAACAGAGACAACAGATGACAGTTCTATGGTAATGGATAGTCTAGGTCCGGCGACAGGAGAGGTTGGCTTATCGTAACCAAAAGAAGGAACAAACACTAATGGGCATTGATGAGGAGCCTGCGGTAGAGGTAGGTGACAGGGCAAACAGGCTGATTGTGAATGTGTGCAGCACTACTATACAGTTGTATTGGTGAGTAGTACTATATATCCAGGGCCATGACATCATCACCGTCAATGCTTTTCTTGGTCGCTGGAAGCCACCTGCTGATCAGCTGACGATTTGTTCCAAGCAGGCCGTTTTGATGTCAGCTCTCTTGGTCCAGTCGCCGAAGTATATACTGTCCTACTCGTCGCCTGCAGGAGAGGACGACTGCTCCGATGCGACTCCAATAACACACTGGCAATATTTCTTTTTGCTCAGCCATGCGCATGGGCTCCGGCGAACAAGGACTACTGCCGGGAGGACGCCTGCCGCGGCTCGCTTTCAATAACACCTTGCGTTATTTCTTCTTGCGCAGCAATGCGCAAAGTGTCGAAATGAACGAGGCCAACTGATTCAGAAAGGAAATACGATGCTGAAGACGATGAGCTACATGGCAAATGCGTGCAACCAAGTGAAATGCCCGAAAAATCCTTGCCGATTTTACTCGAACTGCAAGTGAGTTCAAAAAATTGCCGCATCATGACGTATGTGGGCTCAAACGAAAGCTGAGGGCCTCAGCTACACGCTGTGCCACACGAGAAGGCCTGTGCAGCTTCCGTGCAGCTACAGATCGATCTATGCATGCGCCTTTCCGTGGTGCCACGCATGTACGCGATTCAGCGTTAGCACTTTTTGACAGGTCATGTCACGTGACTGAAGTGCCTAGTAAGGGTGCTGAGTTTATCAAGTTTTAGTGCCAAGTAACTAGTTAAAGCTGCCGTCAAAGTCAGTTTTGTTGTAGCAGGGCCTTTCTGAGCATTTGTGTACCCCGTTTACATCTTCAGTATTGCCGCTATCGCGGTGCACAGTCCCCATTGCCTTTATCTGTGTGCTATTTGCCACTCACCACATTCAAATTTATTGCTTAACCCTTTACCAACCGTACATAGTGCGAATGCGTTTTTTGCTCTGTAAACCATGGTCTTTTGCCGCACCGCGGTCGGAATAATCGCAAACTACTGCTGAAAACCTACGGAATGACCTACCATCGAGAAAACCGTGTGCTGCACATCATTTTTTTTCGAGAAAATCGCGGTTGAATACACCCGGGTGAAGTTGAAATTTCAAGCGTGATGCACTTCATGCTAAACGAGCATAGAGCACTGTACAAACAGCTATAACTTCGGTCTGCCTACTTCAAATTCAACATATGACGACTCATTGGAAAGCTATTGAACGCAGCTTTCCAACGATGTATCATTCGATATAGCGCGAAGTAAAATACTCAAGCGCCGAAGCTCGAAGTCCAGGAAACGGGTGGAGTTGAAATTTCAAGCGTGTGACGCACTTCATGCTGAAGTATGTGTTTGCAATTTCCCCAGTGCACAGCCCATGCGTGATATGCACCAAAAAAGAGCGCTAGAACAGCCTAGTTCTGATGGTGTTTGAATCTTGACAGATGAACTGGTGCATGAGCTGAAGCTGAACAGTGTACATAATATTATTGTCATGGTCCTCGAATTTGCTAATTCGGCCGCATTGCTCGAGTTATTGTTCGCCATGAATGGCAACGTTTCTACATGGCATCAGCTTGGTTTTAGTCTCATATGAAAGGTAATTCTACCAGCTTTCCAGAACTATAAAGATGTCAATACAAATTATTTACCGTTTAGTCTCTATTATCAATCTAGTGGACCCCGCTTTTTTACATATAAATCCTGCGGCTGGTAAAGGGTTAAAGTACGACATGTCAACATAAGCGAGTAATAACCTGTTGTTTGGTTGACGTCGTGTTAAAAGGCGGAACAAGACGGAGGACGCACTGTGTGCAAGCCGTGGAGGTTGTAGTCAGGAGCACTGTTTCCGAACACAGTGTGTCCTCCGCCTTGTTTCATGCTGTCAACCAAACAACGTGTTCAACAAATACAAGGCTTTATCTAATATTGTTTAGTAACTGGTGGCGTTAGTGGACATTATAGCGTAACTTGTAGTTCCTTGGTACTTTTTCTTTTCTATAAATTTATCTAATACCAACGTGTTTTCAACCAAACAATACCATAAAACTTACCTCTACTGCATTGCTGTATCGTGTACTGCCTGTGTGTGATCCTGTCTGTGCAGCCTCCCGAGGGGATCTTAGCCGAGGTGCAGCTGACCAGTAAGGTGCCGATCCACACGATCAGCTTCAACTGCGCCGACAGCCGGGCCAATACGTTCCTGCATCAGCTGTCGCAGGACACCGGCGGACGGTACGTTCCTGTGCTTTGTCGAGGGTTGTGCTGATAACGCCTGGGTTTAATATACTCGTACAGTTGTCCCTCTTTAATCCAACACTTTATAAACCAACATCCTCTAACCTATAAACCAGCACAATTTTCAGTAACAAAAATGTCCTCTTCATTCACATTGCAGCAGAAAATCAGATTTGTTAATCCAGCACCCTCCCTAACGGACTCGGATAGAGAGCCAAGGATAAATTTATAGGAAAAAAAGGACCAAGGAATTACAAGTTACGCTATCAGGTCCACTAACGCCACCAGTTACTAAACAATCAGCTCATACGATAACATTGCACAACATGACCGACGGGTACTGACGTTCTATAACTAACTAGCCAACGGCTCTAGCACATCTTGGATGCACACTCCAACAGCCTTCCAACTTGGAATGTTCAAAGTTATATGATAACATAGGAGGGGAAGGTGAGCGCAACCAAGCTCAACAATATCACTTTTTTGTAGTGTTGAAACGATCTCACCGGATACTCGTTAGCTCGCTCGCCAGAAACTCGGCTCGTTTGTGCGGCCAGCTCGTTTGCACTAACGAACACCGTACACCGTACTCCGTACACATGGCAGTACATGTCGACCGGGGAGTCGTAAAATATTTTACGACTCCCTGGTCGATCGAGAGTCCAGTCCCGCGCAAAGTGAAAATCACTCGCAGTTACAGTGACTGTATGCCTGCACGACACTTGAGTTGTTTCAGTTGTCGTTGCAGCTTTGGTGGACTCTACTGATGTCTTGTTCCGCATCTGCTGACCTGTCGCAGGATATGCTTCGGTCACCTCTCCATTCGAGTGAAAGTAAAATAGTTACGCTCAGTCGTTTGGAAGTTTTCTCCCGCGATGCAGCGAAGACCAGGACTACTTGCAATCTTTGCAAAACGGTCTATTCTTACAAAGGCTACTCGACGACGGCGCTGAAAAGACACCTCGACACCAAACAGCAGTCCGAAGTGAAGCAGCAGCAACCCCAAATGCCGGCGGTGATAATTTGAACCAGCTGAAAAAAATCGAACTTAGAAAAAAAATTATTCAAAAAATCATATTTGCCACATCAATGAAACTCGTTAGCTCGCTCGATAGCTTGCTCGTTAGTGGAACTGATCGCTCGTTTGTTATAGATACGCTCGTTTCAACACTACTTTTTTGGCCATGGAGTGAAGGAGTTATTTTTTGTACTTCTTAGTGATGGTGTAAGAGCGTTCAATATGACTATTGTTGTTGTGTGTGTGTGTGTGTGTGTGTGTGTGTGTGTGTGTGTGTGTGTGTGTGCGTGTGTGTGCGTGCGTGTGTGTGTGCATGTGTGCGTGTGTGCGTGTGTGCGTGTGTGTGTGTGTGCGTGCGTGCGTGCGTGAGTGCGTGCGTGCGTGCATGTGTGCATCTGGTGGCATGCTTTGAAAATGTTTGCCGGTGTGCGGCTGTGTGTGCATTCATATGTATGCTCTTCTGGCTGCTGTCGCATGCAGGTATCATTACTTCTCTGATGATGCCAGGGATGAACATGGACCACGACCATATGAGGTGAGTGCCGCTGAGATATGAGATCTTTATTGAACACGCTGATGGTTCTATGACCCGCCCAACGCACATATACTGCACTATACACTTTGCATAGCCCTACAATTGCGGCTGCTGCTATAATATTACCCCCCCCCCCCCCCTTCAATAGGACTAGGATTACGGCTGGCTTAGAATTTCAGACTCGAATACATGAACAGAATTCGACATGTCACCTTGTGTGGAACGGTACCCTGAGCCTGTCGAGTTCAAAGTAATGATTGCCCGTCCTGTTAAATTGATGATTGCTCGTCCTGTTAAAATCGATTTTGGCAACGGTTTGTGTTTCTATCCGCTTGCTCTCCCTGGATACAGAGTGAAGACATTCATTTCCTGCACGAGGAGGTGGCAAAGGCGCGTGCCGATCTGAAACGCATGATGGAACTACGCCAGGCGTGCCTTACAGTGGAGCAGCAGCAGGCAAAGCTGGCCGCAAGGTGGGGCTGTGCAAGAAGCTTATGCAGTCAACCTTGGAAATAGCGTCCCTCAATCTGGCATAAGAAAAGTGTCATTATTATTTTAAGAGTATCACTGTTTGTCTGAAGTCCGTTAGCCACTATATCTGAAGATAGCGTCGTTGCTCGCAGGTTTTTGTTTCACCGGAGGTTGTGTTTCACAAGGTTGTCTGTTCATGGCCGGAGGGATTACTGTTACACTGGCTGCAGTCACATGTTGTTAGGATATAGCCCAGTAGTGGTGCAGCAAGCTTATTCACCAGACATTACGGATAATATCAGGTCTAATATCAGGTCTAGATACTTTGAGTTGAGGTGGTGGGATTCCAACTCGGCAACACACACACAGGTACATGCGCTCTCGCACAAGCTGCACCCATGACGACCTAGTGACGGCATTTGCTAACGTCTCTGCGTCGCTGTGTCTTCAGGTGTTGAACTAAGCATGTTGTATACTAAAACATGTGTTTGTGTGTTCGTCCCCGTCCAGTAAGCAAACAGGAAAGGCGGGTGCATCGCCAGGCAGCAAGCGCCCCAACACCAATCCAGCGGGCGTGCAGAGAAGCACTCCGGCAAGTGCCAGGAAGAAGGCGCACCAGCCAGCGCAGGCGTCCAACTCCAGTGTCACTAGCCGCCAGTCAGTCGCCAGAGGCAAAGTACAAACCACTGTGCCGCTTCAAACGCCACGGAAGGTCCCCGACGGCCATGCAAGTGATGCACAGTCGGACTCCGCCTCGCAACTGGATCAGTCTGAATCCGAGTCGCAACCCGACGGCTCGGCAAAGTCGTACACTTCGCCTACCGGTTCGTCTTCGGCTGCAGCTGAAAGCTCTGCTGTGTCGTCGGCATCGGAGATCGAATCTGCGACTGAGAGTCAAAGCTCCGCTGCACCTGCCGTATCTCCGCGTGTGCAGTCCACAACCCTGCAGTCAGCATCTGCATCATCCGTATCTCCGCGTGTGCAGTCCACAACCCTGCAGTCAGCATCTGCATCATCCGTGTCATCTGCTGGTAAGTCTATGGTTGCGCATCAGTTGCTTTTCATCACATCGCTGTTCCAAACTGTCGTTCATCTCTGTTTGCACTCCAGAATTGAATGCACCTGACTTCCGAATTTGAGAAAATCAGATGTTCAGCTCAGTATAATCAAAAGGTCTAGGCGCAGCATCAGGCAAAATCTCACATTCAAAAACTGGCTAGAATGATTTCAAACCTGGAGCCCAAATTTGGATTTAGATAGAAACCACACATAAAATGAATCAATTTTTACCATAAATCCGAAAAGTGATGAAAGTGGATTCAACGGGATTTGCATTCCAGCTCTTTCATATGAATAGTACTGTCCTGAAGACTGTATTCGATCTCCGGACAGCTAGCTCCTTCCACCTTGTTAGGTCTCATCAGTTGAGCTTAGAGCACGGTGACTGGCCGAGCCAATTTCAATGAGGTCTAGCACGTCTTGCGACCACCCCTAATATGGTATGTGCAAACAACAAGTTCATGCTTCCTCCACGTCATCACAATTGTCGCTTCGCACATCGCAATGTTTGTGGCTTGCTTGTCTTGGTCGGAGTGCCGGAATCGCCGCTTGCTGTGTTTTGGTACCACTCTTCCTACGCAATGTCTACTTGTTGCGCAGCCCGGATGTAGCGGTTGTCTACTTGTTGCGCAGCCCGGATGTAGCGGTTGTCTACTTGTTGCGCAGCCCGGATGTAGCGGTTGACTGCGTCACTGCGCCATGTCACGCATGATAAGTTTGGAGACACCTGCCGTGGCCGCTGACGTTGCGGCGCCAATCCTGAACGGGTGACTGGCGCATGCACTCGGATCCGTGACGCCACCGAGTGGCAGCGGGTTGCGCAGTTCAGAGAACACAGCGCTCCCGTGAGCGGCTGTCCATAAGCATTGCTGAACAGGTGGTCACAGTTCCACCGGTTTGTAGTCTACAGGCAACTTTCAATTTTCCTCACTGGGCAGATCAGTGCGTCCATGTTGGCTCCAACCAATGCTGTGTGTGGGCTGTGCCATTGTGGTCAATCTTAGAGGAGCATTAGCATTGCTGAACAGGTGATTTTCACCGTTATGCAAAGAATTCGCAATATCCACACTGGGCAGATTAGTGCGACCATGCTGGCTCCAACCAATGCTGTGTGTGGGCTGTTCCATTGGGATCAGTCTTCAAGGAGCGCATGTGTACCGCTAATGACCTCTGGCCAGTGTGCTGATTGTCGCAGGCCAGGAGCCAGCTCTCCATAACGCAAGTGTAGTGTATTGTTTTTGTCGCAGCATTGCCTCTCTCCGTATTATCTGTTTCTTTCTCTCTCGCATCTATCGTGTGCATATGCTCGTTGTAAATATATCTGTCATTGTCCCGCAATGGATTCCTGCGTGGCTTGCAGGCCCAACACAATATGATGGCAGCTGTGGTTTCTACGCCTGTGAATTATGATAGAACCCTCTCCGCCACTAGCCCGCAGTTCGAGCATCCCCAGCTGCGGGACACTAGTCGTCGTTGCCGTCGTCGTCGTCGTTTTCAAATATTTCTTTGTTCAAGTCATGCCCGGAATGCAACAAGTCCAGCTGCTTGTATCCTTCTTCATGTCAACTCATCAGCAGTCCCACCACTGTTCTCTGTCTGTAACCAGCTTATCACTGATTACATGCTCTGTCTTCTCGGCAGCTCCCATAAGCCTACTGTTGAGTATCACCGCCATGTCCCAATGCCGTACACAACCCCTCAGTCGGGGGGAGGACTGGCCCATGAAATGCCAAGGAAAAGGCTGCCCTTCGCATGGCCTTGTCGCGAGGGTGCCGCTTACGTGGAAAGGCAAGAGCCGGCAGATCTCCCTGCAGGCGACGCCGCTGTGTTGACGGTGGCCCATCAATGCCCCCGCAGGACCCTGGCAAGGAGTTGTATTCAAATTGAAACACTTGACTGACTTCAGCTGAAAAGTCTGTGACAATCAAGAGGCCCTGGTACCCAGGTTTGATCCCCAGGAGGTGTTACCCTGACTTGTTTTCGGCTCAAGTCCGGCAAAAGTCAAGCATTTCAATTGGAATTTAGAATACCTAATAGTTGTCAGGGGCGTCACAGGGCAGTGGGGAGTGGTCCGGCCGGTGGCGGTGGTCCGGGGTGTCCCCTAGGGGGAAAAATAATCGGATTTTTCGGCCAACAGGGCACGTTCTAGTGCTCAACAGGCGCTCTGGGTAGACCATCCTGTGGGAGAAAAGTGGTACGACCATGGTCTTGCTGGTCGTACCGTGCGCGAAAAAAAGTCGGCGTGGAGAAAGCAATTTTATAAGAGCAATAGCGATGTTGTTAGGCAATGATGTAATCGAATTCCTTTCTACTTTAGGTCGGACCCTAGAGCACTACCAATTCCGTCTGTAGGCTCCCTCGATCCCTCACGACCACACACTCAAGACCCCAAATACGGCTTGTTTACAGGAATTAGTCTAAAAGGAGAGTAAAAAGATCCACAAAAGCCAGCCTGATGCCGCGAGGTTCATGCCCTCACGCGCATCAAAGAACCATAGCAAAAATGGCGCACAGCATGATCAAATCACATGATCATGCTCTGATCAGCGATTCAAAGCGAGTCAACATATGATAACTAAATTATTGGAATCTTTCGAAAAACTATGATGTCAAAACATCAGTACATTTAGAGAATTATTTGAACAAGATCGAAGGAGAAGATTGATTACTTTATAATGCACTGCAAATCATGCAATTCCATTACAATGATTGTACTCTTTTATTGCTCTTATAATGATTGTATTTGTCTACAATCAAGGCAAGACCTTTGGGGCCGTCATAATCCATGGCACATGCATGTAAGAAGATGTCAGTCAGTGAGATTTAGCACATTCTCCATTCTCCTGACTACATGTATGCGTGCATTATGACATAGTCTTTTGTTTTCTGTTGGCTTTGTGTTCTCCTTCAACTCCGCCGAAACTTCACACGCAGTGGCAAGCAAGAAACGAAGACCAAGAGAAAAGAAGTCACTGAAGGCAAGGTGAGAGAAGCTCTAAAGTAAAAAAACAAAACATGTCCTCTATTAACCACTCGCACAAGTACAGCACTGCTCCATGAAATCCGATTAAGCGAGTGACTGCCACGGCGGGTGGTGTGCCGCCCTAGACCTGCTGTCACTGGGATATGGACTGATGCATAGCGCAGACTGGATTCAAACGATCAACCCGGTTTTCATGGGCCTTGCACGTACTATACTCTGATCTTTCATTCTGAACTGAAGCTAGGGACAACAGCGAACGCACTGCGCAGCCCATCTGCGCAGGTGAGCCTGGCCCATCTACGCGCGGCCGACAAGAAAACTCGTGAACACTTTCATTTTTTTGCAAAATAAATCGTGCGAAAAGATGCACGGAATGGCTGAAAACTAGGCTGAGGAATAGTAGCATCCAGAGACTCTCAAACAAATTCATGGTCCATCGCTTCTGACAATGGCAGCGAAGACATCAGGGAGCTGATTGCAGCAACTCTCTACCAAGCGCGATGCTGGTTACTCACCAGGGCAGGGCGCTTCCATCGCGCAAGAAATGGCCGCGAGTGAGAAATGCAAGTCCGATTTTGGAGTGATCCAACCAGGGAAATTCCTTGAAAATTGGCCTGAACACCTCTCATACTGGTGTTTCACGATGTGCAAACTTTCAGAGAAATCGACCGGGGAGAACGTGGTGAGTACGTGGGTCCTCGAGTATCGCGTATGATTTGAATGGTCGCGGGGACAGAAGAACAGTAATTTTACGACTCCCAGCGGTGCAAACAGACCGCGGCCATGTTTTCTCTGTCGGCCCCGATCACGTTCAAAAAATCGATGACGCAATGCATGCGCAGAGGCCTGCGCAGTGCGTTCGCTGACATCCCTACTGAAGCGGCAATGTACCGTACTTGGGTATAAATGTTCATCGGATTTGAGTCTTTTAAAGACAATACTGATCTTTCTAGAGTCGATTAGCCTCGGATATACAGCACCGTTTCAATAAAGTGCTGGTGTCATGCAATGTTGTGATGTCGTTCTACTGTGTTTTTTTTTCAACACTCCGCATTGCAGGCACGGATATCAATCGTCTCAGAGGTATGCGGGAAACAGTACACTGTGTCGTTGTGGTCCCGAATGTGTAACGTTATTAGGAATACGACAGTGTGTGGCTTGTTAAAACCTTCTCAGTTGGAGGCAGTTGAAAGGGGCTGAACGTGTGAGTAAGAAGCTGACTAGCACCGTCAGGATATGAACCAGGCTTAGCTTTCCTTGCCCTTAACGTGTGTGTGTGGATGGTGCAGCTTTGATTTGATCTTTGAAACACTCCACCACTCCACACTATGCTCTCGTCTACCCAAGACTCCCTTTTTCAAAGTACCAGGCAAACATTTCCAAGCACAGGGTGGGCAGAAGCAGGCTTTTGTATGCGAGAACTATTGGGTTGGTGCGCAGTGCTCCTGGATGCTACGAGAACGGATGCGGGCCAAGAGCGCAATGTCTCCAGGAGTGGTGGAGTGTTTTCCGATTTTTCAAATGGCCGAACTCGTCGCAGCTTCTGCGTCTTTGATAATCCTAATGCTGACACTAGTGCAGTGTACCTACATGTACTTGAAGTTCGATCAGTCACTAAGATCATCCCCAGTCCGAATAATCATGATTGTACTGTACTTGTTGTGATGACTGACTGAAGACTCTTTTACGGGCAAACAAAATACAATACAATATACCGTCATGAAGGATTAGAACACAACACGAAAAGAAAGAAAACAATTTTATGCAAGAAAGTAATCCTGCAAAGAGATGCTAGGCGTGCAAGCCAAGTTCCCATTAGAAATGCAACATAAATGCTAATAGATCCCATACAACACACATCCCCATAATATGGGTCCAGTTACCTTCCCTCGTAACCGGCCCTCAGCGATTGCCAGGTCCCGCAAGGCATTTACGGGACGGTGGTACGATGAACGGGCGCCACGAACGCACATGATCGCAGATCGCAGCAAAGCAAACGCAATCCGACACCGGACGTAGGTCATCGTCTCGGCATACAACTTGTTGTCTCCTTTCGAAATGAGACCACAGAGGCGCCTAACCCGCCACTGGACGATCTCATCATAGGATGACATTATGGAGATTTGTGGGGGGGGGGGGGGGGTGATCATGCCAATCCACACCCGGGTCAGGGTCAGCAATGGTCGGCAGGTTGAGATGTGATGGTATTACGAACCACACCATCCACCTGGCTGTTGGTAACGCGAGTCCCGGAACTACTGCTGTCATCAAGACCATTGCTGTGGCCATAGGTCGCTCCAGTCCCAACGCCAGGAGTGCCATTTCTACAGATTGACGGGTTGCTGCGGCTTCAGTAGCAGTCGGCACACGGGGTGTTAGCAATCTTGCAAGCACATCGCTGACACTTCTCTGTAAGCTGGCACTGGTGGCAAGGCATTGCTGCTACAGGGAACAACAAGTGGAGATGTGACACGGGCTCGACATGGAGTTGTGAAGACTGGTGAACGCGCTCAGAACTTGACTCCAGGGTACTGATTGTGATTGCACTGACTAATCATGATAAGTCAGTACGACCATAATCAGTTTCCACCTTCCAACCCGGCAAATATTTAGATTTTGATAAAAACGATTCAAAGCCTCTCAATTATTTTTGTTTGTACTTGAAGTATAAATATAAGAATAAAAAGAATATAATATACTTTCACACAAAACAAGCTCGGTGCAGCACTAATCACAGCAGGGGAACCCGGCCCTCCACCATCACCAACTCACGAAGCATGTGAACTGGACAGTGGCGGGCCGACCGAGCACCCCGGACACACAATACAGCGGAACGTAGCAGCGCGAAAGACACCCGACAGCGATGTTGTCCCATCAACGACGAATAGCTACCTCCCGAAGATTGAGATGTGAGCAGGCAAAGGCGCCTGAGGAAGGCCGTGGATGCCGGCGCAGCTGCCCCATTCACGGAAAACACTTAAGGTACAAAGGCACCACGCTCAACATTCACTACTCTCTCCTGATATTGAAGTCTCTTAGCGCCCTCATGTTGCCGAAGAGCGCGTCCAGGCCTCTGGACGCATAGGAAAAGCGTCAGGATTAACACCCTTACATCAAAAAATGCATCTTGCCCACGCGTCCAGAAACCTCTAGCGCTCACATCAAGGCGAGCCTCGACAGAGGTGTTCGCCGACCTGGCCTGTAAAACCTCACCCTCGCAGGGGCGAGAGGTGGCTCTACAGACACACTGGGGCAAACCTCGGTCAAGGCAACAGCGAACAGATCTCGCAGTTCATTATGTCGAATAGTTGGGAATCCCCCAAAAGCACAATTCAAAGCATGGCTAGTGGAAAAACCCGCCCCACAAGCACATACAGCAGGGGTGTCACGCAGCGGCCAGTCATAGCGTAACGCAATGGCATCGCAAAAGTCTCCCTTGGATAATTCAAAACCATGCTCAGCAATAGGGAGCGGCGACAACCATGATAAAACACCTGGGTGACCCAGTTCTCCCACGCGACTATTAACTTCCAAAGACAGGTGCGATTGAAGAGCACGCAAGCGCTCTGCCTGCACAATCAGTCAGTACGACCGTAATCAGTCAGTACGACCATAATCAGTCGGCACGACCATAATCAGTCGGCACGACCATAATCAGTCGGCACGACCATAACCAGTCGGCACGACCATAACCAGTCGGCACGACCATAACCAGTCGGCACGACCATAACCAGTCGGCTCGACCATAACCAGTCGGCACGACTATTATCATAATCAGTCAGCACGACCATAGTCAGTCAGCACGACCATAGTCAGTCAGCACGACCATAGTCAGTCAGCACGACCATAACCAGTCGGCACGACCATAACCAGTCGGCACGACCATAACCAGTCGGCACGACCATAACCAGTCGGCACGACCATAACCAGTCGGCACGGCCATAACCAGTCGGCACGACTATAACCAGTCGGCACGACCATGACCAGTCGGCACCATGACCAGTCGGCACGACCATGACCAGTCGGCACGACCATGACCAGTCGGCACGACCATGACCAGTCGGCACGACCATGACCAGTCGGCACGACCATGACCAGTCGGACCATGACCAGTCGGCACGACCATGACCAGTCGGCACAACCATGACCAGTCGGCACGACCATGACCAGTCGGCACGACCATGACCAGTCGGCACGACCATGACCAGTCGGCACGACCATGATCAGTCGGCACGACCATGATCAGTCGGCACGACCATGACCAATGACCAGTCGGCACGACCATAACCAATCTGGACGACCATAACCAGCACGACCATAACCAGTCGGCACGACCATAACCAGTCGGCACGACCATAACCGGTCGGCACGACCATAACCGGTCGGCACGACCATAACCGGTCGGCACGACCATAACCGGTCGGCACGACCATAACCGGTCGGCACGACCATAACCGGTCGGCACGACCATAACCGGTCGGCACGACCATAACCGGTCGGCACGACCATAACCGGTCGGCACGACCATAACCGGTCGGCACGACCATAACCGGTCGGCACGACCATAACCGGTCGGCACGACCATAACCGGTCGGCACGACCATAACCGGTCGGCACGACCATAACCGGTCGGCACGACCATAACCGGTCGGCACGACCATAACCGGTCGGCACGACCATAACCAGCTTGAATCTGTGAAGTTGACTTGGCATCAAGTCGTAGGGCGGCTCAGCAGTAACAGGGACAATAGAGGCTGGTGCGAGCTTTCCAACTAATATGGTACTGGAAATAAAGGGGCAAGAAAACCCAACCCTTGATAAGAGTGCGCAGGCAAAATATGTACGAACATTGAGTTTTGGTAGTGAAACAAATCGTGCGGTGTGCAACGACTTTGCAAGCATCTCGTACATAAAGCTATTGGCTTGCACTGACCAGGCAACCATCAAAACCATCAAGTACAGTACTGGCCAAAGAAATCCAACCTCGTGAATAAAATAGCACCGGGCGCTACGCAGCTCTAGCACTGTACATACTAGTCTGTGCACTCGAACACGACGCTACTTTATTCATGAGGTTGGATTTCTCTGACCAGCACTGTACAGTAAACCTGGTTTAAGCGACCACCCCACGGTGCAAGCAAAAGCGGTCGTCACGGCCAGGTGGTTTTTGGAACCAGGTTCCATACATTCGTGGCATATCTGATTGTACTTCCATGTAGTCATATTGACAGGCGTGGAGCATAGAATACTTTCGTGCAGGCATCCCGCACTGTCACTTGTCACTTCTGTTGACTGCATGCACTTGCTTCAGACTGAGCGCACTTCAACCCTGTTGCAGTCAGCCCTGCCAGTCAAGATGGCACTTTTGGCTGGTTTTGGTCGCTGTGTGCAGATCTAATATGGCACTTGGCACACTAAAAAAGTCGGTCGCTGGTCGCGCAAGGCAGGTGGTTGCTGTATCCAGTGCCGTTTCTGTGTAGAACTGTCCGTGCATGGAAAAACGGTCGCTAAAACCAGAGGTCGCTTACACCACGCTTTGCTGTACTTGACCTGGTGAGTGGCTGTTCAGATTAGTCATGAACGCAATCCTTCTTAACCAGATAGGAGATCCTTTTTGTACCCCCGAGTTTTGCATCACTGCAACACTAAATATTTCCTAGGGATGCTTTCTACCAAGCCAGCACAACTGTGAGGTGTGAATGGTGTTTTCCTGTTTTTGTGTGTGTGTCCATGTGTGTGTGTATGTGTGTGTGTGTGTGTGTGTCCATGTGTGTGTGTGTCCATGTGTGTGTGTGTGCGCGTGTGTGCGTGTGTGTGTGTGTGTGTGCACGTGTGCGCTGTACTTAGTTGGCTGCAGGTGCACGGTCTTGCAGCGTGCCGTCTGACTATCCTGGACGCTCTGCGGCCCACGGTCATTGAACAGCAGGCAAACTTTGTGCCTATCCTCAACAAACACGTGAGCAGCCGCGTCTTCAACGAGGTGAGGGTGTGCGAGTGCATATGGCTATAGAAACTGGCTGTGTATTGAGCTAACGACATCACCTTGCCTCCTATCACCAGGGTGCATGTGGCCAGACTAGGGCCATCATACTTTATAACATGCATTCGAGAACGTATGTACTTGTGGGAATCAAAGGTCGGAGATTGCAATTTCCCTACTTGAAAAGTGCAGCAGGCTGCGTCTGTACAAAGTTGTCAAAGCTTCAGCTCTTGGTTTGGCGCAGGCAATGGAGGTTTTAGCTGTTGATCTCATGGCACACCTATTGCGTGGCAGACCTCAGTGGAGACTTGTCACATGACCAGCCTTTTATAGTCATAATATTATGACCGTGCCACAAGTCACATAATACAGATCATGTGATCACGGAAGAACTCTGCACCGTTTGAGTAGTATCTACTGGCCAGTATGGTGGATTGGCAGAGGTAACACCAAGAGTATATGTTGGACTCAGTAGAGCGTCCAGCCCCTATATGATGTCCAAGCCCTATATAGAGTCCATTGGTCCAAAATCCACTGTACAGAGTCCAAACTTGGAATCAACTGTGAGCTCAAAGTTTCGATGGACATCACTCCCTGTATAGAGTCCAGCCAATTGGCTTCACCCCTATATAGAGTCCATTGGTCCAAAATCAACTGTACGGAGTCCAAACTTTGAAATCAACTATAAAGAGTCTTTATGTGGACAACACCCCCTGTATAAAGTCCAGCCAATTAGGCATCCCCTATCGAGTTCGAAAATAGACATAGGATCTGCTGTAAGCAGTGAATATTAACCAGAAAACGGCCTCTCCCTTTAATCCTTTACATCATTCACTTCTCAAGATAAAAAAATATGGATTGAGGCGCCACTGCAGCCACTTCATTACATGAAAAACCCTACAAACACCATCCTCAAATCAAGTGGTCTCTTCGCAGACGCTGCAAATTACAATATCTCAATCATGTAGTGTTGCCAAATTATTGTGCACGCACACACACATGCACACACCCACACAATGCCAAGAAAATACCTAGAAAAAAACCAAGAATCGAAAGAGAATAATGGTGAGCCCAGGATTAATTATTTGTTTTCAAATTATTGTGCGCGCGCGCACACACACACACAAACTTATACAACGCCAAGAAAACACCAAGAAAAGAGTAGAGACACAATACACACGCAACTCCAACAGCCATGCAAACGTCCACCCATTTACATGTAAAGTCAAGAGGGATAACAAATAATTATACGAAACGAATGCGTACGGGGACAGGTACACGCACGTTTACATACACGTAGTAGTGTAAGAGAGTAACATAGTGCAGTGGTCAGCATAATACTAGCACATGCTGAGAGTGCAATAGCAAGCTTCACCATCGCTCATGGCCATGCAAATGTTCAGCAGCACTCAGTTCCGCAAGCTTCTGAAGATCAGCACACCTGCAACAAATAGATAGCACAAGGATACGCTTATTACCATAACGATGCATGGGAGCACACAACTACCAAGTTCTCAACGAATGTGATGCTAAATGAAAATCAATCCACTCAAAGACCTGTGAACTGGTGATGGTGGGGACAATAATCTATTAGTAATACGAAGAATAAGATCGTTTGTGCACACTCAAGACGCACAGACACACCAACATATATGTAGTGTACACAGTGTTTCACTTCACTGCAACTAAATTGAAATGAGCTGATTTGAACAATCTGTACAGCGTTGCTGTCAGTCAGTCTTCCCCAAGATGGAAATGCAATGATTTGTTGTCACGAGGCAGTTTCACTGGCACAATGTCATGTTCGTGACATCAAAACGGTTACTTCATGGAATACGAGTATTATCTTGAGAAGCTTTTTCTTGTCATTGGCACACAAGCAATCCTCCTAGTCCTACTACTACTAGTACACTGGCACTGCGTTTGTGGATCCCATTGTATTTGACATCATACTACAGGAAGAGTGTCGTGGAGTTCACATAATTCAATGATCACAGGGATAAAAATACATTTCTCATGAAATAAAATAATAATTGATGATAGCTAGACGATCATATACGATTGATGCAAAGTCCTTGCAGTCCTTGAGGACTATTACGAAGTGGTTGATTACTTTTAGGGCATTCATTCAAGCAACATCAAACAAACGCGATACGCTCCTTGAAAATGGAAAAAAATTCAAGCATAACGACAGAACAGCAGACCAATCGAAACGAGTAAAAGCTTCCTTACCTCAGTCATCGTCCTGCCATGTAGTTGGACAGCCTTTTGACACGGTGGTACAGGCAGCTCTTGTCCAGTCAAACAGGGGTATCCTTGTGGCGTCGAACGAAAGAGAGTGTCAGTGTATCTGACTCGTCAGATTGCAACTGTGCTGAACTTTTCTCTTTCTCCGCTTTCTGCTTTCATCCCTCGCTCTGATGAAACCGTTCAAACGTCTTACTGGCAGCAATGGCCAGCCAAACAGGGGATCCTTGTGGCGTCGAACGAAAGAGAGCGTC